GCGAGAGCCACCATGCCTGGCCTTAAGCTGAATTTTGAAGGGCAAATGGAAGAAGGAGGCCAAAGCAGGAGGATCTCTTGAGCCTAAGAGTTCAAGACCAGCCTGGGCAACACAGCAAGACCCCATCTCTAAAAAATTTTTTTTTTTTTTTTTTGAGACAAGAGTCTCGCTCTGTTGCCCAGGCCGGAGTGCAGTGGCTCGATCTCGGCTGGCTGCAAGCTCCGCCTCCCGGGTTCACGCCATTCTCCTGCCTCAGTCTCCCGAGTGGCTGGGACTACAGGCGCCCGCCACCACGCCCGGCTAATTTTTGCATTTTTAGTAGAGACGGGGTTTCATCGTGTTAGCCAAGATGGTCTTGATCTCCTGACCTCGTGATCCGCCCGCCTCGGCCTCCCAAAGTGCTGGGATTACAGGCGTAAGCCACTGCACCCAGCCTTAAAAAAATTTTTTTTAAAAAAAGAGGAAAGAAGGAGAGGAGGAGAGGGAGCTGCTCAGAGAGACCAGGGGTGTATACGGTCCTGCTCTGCAGTGGCACCCATGGTGGCCAAGGGGTGGCAGTAGGGATTGTGAGCTGGGAAGAACCAAATCTGAACCAGGGCAGACAAGGGGGATTGGAGAGGAAGAGTTGAATTCCAGAAATATGCAGGAGGTGGCCACAGGAATTGGGAGATGAGGCAGAGGGAAGAGGCCATGCCCAGTTTGTGATGTGGCCTACTCATGAATGCAAAAATTGGGGTCTTCTGTGCTTTGCAAGTGAGTGCACCACCCCAGTTTGCTTTACAGCAGGGCCCCAGGAAAAGGGGTTCTGGGGATGTCATCTTAACAACAGGTGTGTTCCACAAGAACATTAATACATCGTTAATATTTTTGAAAGACAAGACTGGGCATGGTGGCTCATGCCTGTAATCCCAGCACTTTGGGTGGTTGAGGCTTGCGGATCACTTGAGCTCAGGAGTTCGAGACCAGCCTGGGCACCATGGTGAAACCCCGTCTCTACTAAAAATACAAAAAATAGCCGGACACAGTGGTGTGTGCCTGTAATCCCAGCTACTTGGGAGGCTGAGGCAGGAGTATTGCTTGAATCTGGGAGGCGGAGGTTGCAGTGAGCCGAGATCACGCCACTGCACTCCAGCCTGGGCAACAGAACGAGACTCCATCTCAAGAAGAAGAAAAAAAAGAACGCAAGGGCACTGCCCAGCACAGGCACAGTCACATCAGGCCCTGGGGAGCTGTGCCGGGACGTTCTGCCCAGCAGAGTCACACCGAAGAGGGTCCTCAGCCTAACCCCATCCCCTTGAGGACCAGCTCGTGACAGCTTTGAGCAGAACATGTCATGGGAACGGCATTGTGCAGAACCTTTTATTAAATGGCATTTAAAATATTCTCCAGGACTGTGTAGTTGGGGAAACGCCATGAAATCCATTGGCCCGGAACATAATGGCTCAATGGTTCAAAACAAATGCATTGTTAAAAAGGAAAAACAGCAACAGTTGTGGGGTAATGACTTGCAGATGACTCAGCAGGTCAAACATCAAAGGAATTCGGATGGCAGCAGGTGGGCACAGGCAGCCAGGAAACACCCTCCCTCGCTCTCACTTCCGGCGATCGCTTTAACTCCCTGGAGCGTCTAAACTACCCATTTCTCTCCACCATCCCTGCAATCCCGAAGCAAGAGCCACCTTGATCTCCCGCTGGGATGTCGGTGGCTCCACTCTAGCTGAACTCTCCACGTCCACTCCTGCCCCTCGCCCGTTCCCCTCTCAGTATCTAGAGGGACCAGGTTCTTTTTTTTTTTTTAGACGGAGTCTCACTCTGTCGCCCAGGCTGGAGTGCAGTGGTGCGATCTCAGCTCACTACAACCTCCGGCTCCCAGGTTCAAGCAATTCTCCTGCCTCAGCCTTCTGGGCAGCTGAGACTATACATGCACGCCACCACATCTGGCTATTTTTTTTGCATTTTTAGTAGAGATGGGGTTTCACTATGTTGGCCAGGCTGGTCTCAAATTCCTGACCTCAGGTGATCCGCCCACCTCGGCCTCCCAAAGTGCTGGGATCACAGGCGTGAGCCACTGTGCCCGGCCAGGACCAGGTTCTAAACCTGATCACATCGCACCTCTGCTCCCAACATTCAGGAACTTCACACAGCAAGAACAGAATCTAGGTTCAGACAGGTGTGGTGGCTCACGTCTGTATTCCTAGCACTTCGGGAAGCCAAGGCAGGAGGATCAATTTGGGAGGCCAGGAATTCGAGACCAGCCTGGGCAACATAGAGATCCAACTGGGCACAGTGGCTCATGCCCGTAATTCCAGCACTTTGGGAGGCCAAGGCAGGAGGATCACTTGAGGTCAGGAGTTCGAGACCAGCCTGGCCAACATGGTGAAATGTCATCTCTACTAAAAATACAAAAATTAGCCGGGCATGATGATGGGCACCTGAAATCCCAGCTACTTGGGAGGCTGAGACAGGAGAATTGCTTGAACCCAGGAGGTGGAGGTTGCAGTGAGCTGAGATCACACCACTGCACTCCAGCCTGGATGACAGAGTGAGACTCTGTCTCAAAAAAACAAAACAAAACAAAATAAAACATACCGACACCTAATCTCTATAAAATATTTTTAGAAGTTATCCAGGTGGGCCGGGTGCGGTGGCTCACGCCTGTAATCCCAGCACTTTGGGAGGCCAAGGCAGGTGGATCACTTGAGGTCAGGAGTTCAAGACCAGCCTGCCCAACATGGTGAAACCCCGTCTCTACTAAAAAAAAAAATACAAAAATTAGCCAGCTGTGGTGGCAGGCACCTGCAGTCCCAGCTACTCGGGAGGCTGAGGCAGGAGAATGGCTTGAACCCAGGAAGCAGAGGTTGCAGTGACCTGAGATAGTACTGTTGCACTCCAGCCTGGGTGACAAGAGCAAAACTCCATCTCAAAAAAAGAAAAAGAAAGAAAGAAAGAAAAGACGAGAAAAGAAAGAAAGAACCCCTAGGAAGCCCCTTGGCTCTCAGCGGCGGCCAGTAGCGTCCCCTAGGCTCCTGGGCTATAATTCAGTCTTTTCACCCTAGGTTCTAAGATCTGTTTAGAGGGTGTTTCCAAAGTCAAGTTCCAGGCGGCTCCTGAGGGTGACAGCAGCTCCTCAGTAGGCCCAGAGAGGCTGTGCAGAAGGGAGGGGCACCTGCAGGCTCGCACGGGAAGTCCCTGGCGCTGCGCCTGGCATCAGCACAGATTCTGACAGTAAGAACACAGAAGGGCCCCAGGACATTCAAAAGCCTGTGGCCAACATGGTGAAACCCCATCTCTACTGAAAATACAAAAATTAGCTGGGCGTGGTGGCAGGCACCTGTGATCCCAGCGACTCAGGAGGCCAAGGCTTGAACCCAGGAGGTGGAGGCTGCGGTGAGCAGAGATTGCACCACAGTACTCCAGCCTGGGTGACAGAGTGAGACTCCACCTCAAAAAAAAAAAAAAGTCTGTGGCAATCCTGCTCCTAGCTAGTCCTTGGACCCTGGGAGGACTCATTCATCATTTTCTTGTCACACAGCAAACATCAATGGCCCCCTCCTCCTCCCTCTCATACCCCTTCGGGCTGGGCCCCTAGCCAGCTGTCTTGAGTCTGGATAGGACAGCATGAGACAGTCTCCGCTGGGGGCCGCTGATAGGGAGGTGGTCTTTTAACTTTTTTTTTTTGAGATGGAGTCGCTCTGTCGTCCAAGCCGCTCAGTGGCATGATCTCAGCTCACTGCAACCTCCGTTTCCCAGGTTCAGGTGATTCTCCCGCCTCAGCCTCCCAAGTAGCTGGGATTACAGGCACCCCCCACCACACTGGGCAAATTTTTGTATTTTTAGTAGAGATAGGGTTTCACCACGTTGGCCAGGCTGGTCTCAAACCCCTGACCTCAAGTGATCTGCCTGACCTGGCCTCCCAAAGTTGGGATTACAGGCATGAGCCACCAAGCCCGTCCGTTAACTCTCTCTCAATTCCAGGCAGAGGGACCCGGGGTCCACCGTAGTGGGTTTTTGTTTGTTTGTGTGTTTTGTTTTGTTTTGTTTTTGAGATGGAGTCTCACTCTGTCGCCCAAACTGGAGGGCAGTGGAAAGATCTCAGCTCACTGCAACCTCCACCTCCCGGGTTCAAGTGATTCTCCTGCTTCAGCCTCCCGAGTAGCTGGCATTACAGGCCCCCCGCCACCATGCCCTGCTAATTTTTGTGTTTTTGGTAGAGACAGGGTTTTGCCACATTGGCCAGGCTGGTCTTTAACTCCTGACCTCAAGTGATCTGCCTGCCTCAGCCTCCCAAAGTGCTGGGATTATAGGTGTGAGCCACTGCGCCCAGCCTGTTCGTTCAAGACAGGGTCTCACTCTATTGTCCAGGCCAGAGGGCAGTGGTGCGATCACAGCTCACTGCAGCCTTAAACTCCTGGGCTCAGGTGATCCTCCTGCCTCAGCCTCCCAAGTAGCTGGGGCTAGAGGTACATGCCACCACCCCTGGCTAATCTTTTTTTAATTTTTAGTAGAGATGGAGTCTCACTATGTTGCCCCAGCTGGCCTGGAACTCCTGGGCTCAAGTAATCCTGCCTCAGCCTCCCAAAGTGCTACGATTCTAGGTATGAGCCATGGCACCCAGCCTATCACAGTAGTGTAACCTAAAGGGGCTGGGTCCCCTGGCCAGACTTCACCTGGGACACCGAGGCATTTGACTGAATCTGTTTCTGTCTATACCTGGAGGGGCTCTGGTGGCTGGTGGGGGTGCAGGCAGCATGGAGGAGGGGCTTTCAGAGATGAGGGGCTCAAGGGCTTGCTTGGGAGGGAGCACCAAAATCACATATCTGGCCCTGAAACGCATGTGCGGATTTTCTTGGGTTATTAGAAGATGGGGGCACCTCAAAGTACAAGCCAGGACAGCAATCAAGGGACAGGCTCGGGGTAATCCCATGGGGCAGAAGCTGAGCAGGGCCCTGGGCTCCCAGTATAAATTTCCTGTCATGGCAGGGGCACCATTCAGGCCATGATGGGCTCCAGACCGCATTTATTCACCTCCAAAGAGGGCTGCAGCCCAAGGGTCACCACTGAGCGCCCTCTGTGGGCAGGGCCTGCAGGCCGGGAGCCGTGGTCACATTAGAGGGCCTGGGAGCGCGGCCGGCCGTGGACAAAGTGCAGCGGGCAAATCACTGAGCCTCAGTTTCTCCATTTAGAAAATCGCGGCGGCTGGGCGGACTGTATGGCACGCAGCGGGCTCTCAGGCGTGACTGCTCATCCCTCTGGCTTGGCGGAAGGAGGCCTAGAGTACTGACCTCCACCGACCCCGCCACGCGGCATCTGCTACCACCTTGGAGATAGGAGGGGCAGCGAATAGGAGTGCGCATGCGCACTGGCCGTGAGGCAGCCTGGCTGCGACTCGCTGGCGCCCCCGAGTGGCGACGACGGGAACCACCGGCCTTGTACACAGATGGACACTTGGGGTTCTTCTGCACAGAGGGTCCTTCCAGGTGATGGAGGCTCCTGGGTCCCGGAGAGCCTCCTGGGATGGCAGTCTAAGGGCGTGACAGACCTCCGACAGCAACAGGTCACATCTGGACACGTGGTCGTCTCAGGTCTAGAGAAGGCAGCTCCCCAAGGTCAGGACCAGCTATGCCTGAAGCCCCAAGTCTAACACTGTATGTGGCATACAGCAGGTGCTTAATAAATGCTTGAGAGGGTGGATACGGGCAAGAGCCATCCGTATGCGCAAGAGGGTTGGAGGTGGTGGCCAGAATTGGTAGTCAGATCACCATGGAGAGTCCCACTCTCAGAAAGGTGCCGTGCCCAGGGGCAGTAGGGGACGCCTCTGAATCCTTACCCTGCCCAGCCACTGATGGGTGGGACAGGGGACAGAGGGCGGCTCAGGTCTCATAGGCCCCGGAATGAGCCCAGCTTCCTGCACCAGGCAAAGCACGGTCCCCTGCGGGCCTCCTCCTGGGGTCTGGAAGCTTGCAGTCAGGGTGGCCTGTCCACACAGCCTCCAGCCTTCCTCGAAGGAGGTCAGGTGAGACAGAGGTGGGGATGGAGGTGGGGACTGGGTGTCCAGTCTGCCCATGACCCTCCCCTAAACCCTCCTGAGTGCAACTTACAGATGTTTGGAGAGGGAGAGAAACCGGAAAGGCAGAGGCAGGGGGGCTGGTGCTGGGATTCCAGGCAGGGTAGGGGGTGTGCTGGTCGGCGGGGAAAGGCGAGCAGCCCTGAGGGGGCCTGTGGGTGCAGGAGCTGGGACAGAGCACCATGCACTCGCTCCCTGCACCCCACCTCCCCCAGCCCCATGCACAGAGGCCAGGCTAGGGGCTGAGGCTGGGGAGGGGGTCCTGGCCAGGCTCGCAGCCCACTGGCAGTGTGGCAGCCTCGCTGGGCGGGATGTGGTGGGTCATGTAGCGCTTCCCCATGAAGGAGCCGATCCGCAGCTGCTCCGGGGCCTCCTCCGGCCACCACAGGCTGGAGCTGGGTGGGGAGAGGAGGAGGAACAGATGTATGTCCCTGCCATGTGGGGCGGGTGCTGGGTCAGGGCCTGTTCTCTCTCCCTGCTCCCTCACCTGCAGTCTCTCTCTCTCTCTTTTTTTTTTTTTTTTTCTTCTTTTTTTGAGATGGAGTCTGGCTCTGTCACCCAGGCTGGAGTGCAGTGGTGCAGTCTCGGCTCACTGCAAGCTCCGCCTCCCGAGTTCAAGCGATTCCCCTGCCTTAGCCTCCCGAGTTGCTGGGATGACAGGCTGGCGCCACCACACCCGGCTAATTTTTGTATTTTTAGTAGAGACGGGGTTTCACCATGTTGCCCAGGCTGGTCTTGAACTTTTGGCCTCCCGTGATCCTTCTACCTTGGCCTCCCAAAGTGCTGGGATTACAGGCATGAGCTGCTGCACCCAGCCTCACCCGCAGTCTCTGATCCCTCCTTCCTCCTTTCTAGAACCAACTGGAGGACCTCTCCAGGTGGCCACCCTGACTACCCTGGCATCAGCTTACTAAACCACCAGAGGATCCACAGAGAGCAGGTGAGACCCGGGAGGAGAAGGGCCTTGGCTGAGGATACACTGAAAGACAGGGCCTGAGTGAGGTGGGCCTTCCTGAACCTGTCCCCAGAGGGGCTGCTGGCCCCCATCACTGACCCCCGAGGTGCGAGATACTCAGGGTGGGAATTCCCTGCACAGGCCCTGGGAGGGGCGCTGCGCAGCTCAAAACCAAAGCATCGGGCTGGGCAAGGTGGCTCACGCCTGTAATCCTAACACTTTGGGAGGCCGAGACAGGAGGATCGTTTGAGCCCAGCAGTTCCAGACCAGCTTGGGCAACACAGCAAGTGCCTATCTCTACCAAAAATAAAGTAAACCCCATGGCATGCCTGGAGGGCTTCCAGACACTGGGACCAGTTCAATGGAAGGGGTTCTGGGTGAGAGAGGGGCTGAGGGGGTGTCCCCACTCACAAGCGTGCGGTAGAGGCTGCCAAGAAGGCCAAGAGCAGGAGGCCGCTCAGAGAAGAGAGGATGGAGGTAACAACGATCATGCTGCCACTTCGCCGCCCTGGCCAGGTGTCGATGGATCCGGGGGTCTTCCCTGCACACACACCAGCTGCTCAGAGAGGCTGCCCCTCAACCCCAGGACTGGCTGTCACCTCCTCCCTTTCTCCCTCCCCACCCATGCTCGCCTAGCCTCAAGGCCTGGCTTTCTCATATCCCGAGGCACACCCCGGAGCCCAACCCCCTGTCCCACTTCCTCTGTGCTCTGCCAGCCTGGACCACGGCCTCCGCCCTGCTCCTACCTTCTAGGTTGCTCCCAACCACGTGCTCATCCACCGCCCTGCTCCCGGGAGCCCAGCAGTCAAGGCCTTCAGAAGACAAGACTTCCAACCCACACCCCCTGACCTCTGAAGCCATCTCCCAGGAGACCCCCACCCCAACACCCGGGTCGCGGCTCTCAAAATGTCCTGGGCCTGGTACATTCACACCCGCCCCTTGGGTCTGCTCAGAACTCAAGCTGGCTGCCTCCCCAGCCAGCCCCGACCTGACTCTGACCCCCTCCACACCCTCTTCCTCCCTCCCAGCAGGGGCTGACACAGCCTGACTCCCTATAGCAGTGGGGAGGCTGTCTCTGCCCACAGTGTGGCTGGAGCCCAAGAGTTGGCAAACGCTTGCTGATGGGCCGAGATGGTGCCCCTGCCAACGGGGCTGGCTCAGTGCCCCACTCCCCCAGCATGAGGATCTGATGGGGGTTGGGCCTGACTTGGACGTGGCCTCCAGGCCCCCAGCCCTGTGGGAGCAGGGGTGCGCCCAGCTCAGCAGAGGGTGACGAGGTGGCCCAGAGAGATGGGTGAGTCCACTGGGGGCAAACAGAAGCCAGGGCGCCCCTCCTGCCCAGCGCTACCTTGGTGGAGAGTGATGGGGTCTGACCACTTGGTCTCGGCCCTGGGTGAGCCCCTGGCGTCCATCAGGAGGAACTTCACGCTGGGGACGGGAGGTGGTGGGGGAGGAGGGGAGAGACTCAGAGGCTGGGACCACCCCAGGCAGGGCCAGGTCCCCCAGCAGCTCCTCTGGGCCCCTCCCATGGATGTGGAGTGGGGGTGCCAGTCAAGAGCAGCAGCCGGTGGCCTGGCCCTGCTCTGAGAATCCCCTGAGATGTCTCCAGCCACTTGGCCTGTGCCACCATCCCCCATCCCCCTGAGCAGTTGCTCTCCAGACACCAGACCTGGGCCGGGGATGGTTTAGGGGCCCCAGTTCCTAAATGCCACGAGTCAAAAGTGCAGGTGAAGGTGGCTTAGCAAGGCACATGGGCAGGGGTCCCAGGCCTCCCAGAGGGGCAGCAGTAGCCGGAGGGCGGGGGGCTCAGTCACCAGCAGCCCAAGGACCGAGGGCACTAGGAGCCCTGCAGAGGGGCTCGGTTTGTGTCTTTGCAGGGCTGGGAGCTCTGGAAGGTCTGGGCAGTGGGGAAGGACCTGACAGGTTGGCACTGAAAAGAGTGGCTGCAGGGGACAGGGCGGGGCGTGGAGCTGGAAGCTGAGCCAGGGTGTGGCGGCAGGGAGGGCAGAGGGTGGACCTGGAGAGTGGGTGAGAGGGCAGAGGGGGGCTGGGTAGAGCGGGGTGCTGTTCCAGCTTCTCCATGCCCTGCCTTCCCGGCTCCCCCCAGGCCTGGTCTTCCTGAGGCCACCCCACCTTGTCCTGTGCCGGGACAGTCCTGACCTGGACACACAGCCTGCTTCCCCTTCCCGGCTCCACCCCGACCTTGGCAGGCCACTTGACCTCCTGTACCTCAGTTTCCTCATCTGTAAGAGCGGGTGGGAGCCACCTCTCTTGCTCCCTGCCTCATATCCACAAGACTGGGTCTGAACTCGGCCCCCGAGTTTCCTGCCAGATCTGCCCGTGGTGGGGGCCAGGGGCCTAGACTTTGGGGAAGCTGCCCCCTCCCACCTTGACTAAGATCCCGCCTCCCCGTGGTGCCCACCCGCTCCTCCTGGGCCTTGCCCGGCCCCAGCTGAGGTGAGCACTGTTGCTGACTCTACAGTGGAAGGAGCTCGGGCTTGCAAAGGGGAGGACAGGGGCCAGAGGATCCCTGGGAATATAGTAGAGAGAGCATCCTTGCTCCCAGCAACGCCTCCTCCCCAAGCACAGCCCCAGTCCCAGGGCCCCGGTGGTGGGGGTACCACCTACCGATAGGGTCCAGGGCCAGGGAGGGGCGCGTTGCAGAAGGGCCGCTGATGGCAACCGTGGTCATGGCCCACCCGCAGCACGGGGGCACCTCCGCTGCCCACCATGGGGTCGTCACAGGGCAGCCGGTCCAGAGACAGGGGCAGGGTCATGTAGTGGCCATCGGTCAGCAGCTGTGGGGAGGCCGGGATGTCAGCCAGTGTCTCTGGGTTCTGGAAGCTCCTGGAGGCTGCAAGATGAGAGAACAGATGGGGGTAGGAGGGGAGAAACCAGCTTTGTGCTTATGAGCGGGGGTTCTGCGTTCGCCCACCCTCCAGCCCTGACCCCCCATGCCACCTCCTCCCTCAGGACCCCCAGAGATAGTCCAGATCCACAGTTGACTTTGTTACCCCTGAAGGAGAACTTCCCTCTGGCCTTCTGTCCTCACCCAGAGCCAGGAGTGGGGAGCAGCGGGCGGTCCCAACCTGCCCAGCCCCAGCCCCATCGCAGTGCACCGGCCCTGCCCCCCACGAAGCCACATCCTGTCAGGTCGAAGCCTCGGTTTTCCGTCCAAAGGAAGAACTACTTGGATTCAGAAAAAGGGCTGCAGAGCTGTTGACAAACCCGCCACTTAAACAACTCCCGGGATTTGGTGCTCACTATGTGTATATTTTTCAATACACATATCACCCCTTTGGATAAAGCCCCATTCATCCACACCTATCTCCCAAAGGCCCTACAAGGGCTCAGTCATTGAAGGTGCTTGCTGGTGAGGGGCTCCTAGGGCCCACCACTGTCCTCGGCCGTCACCGTCACCCAGGCCCCACAGCTGTCCCCGCACCATTGCTGAAGGCCACCACGAGCCAGACGGTGTCGCCGGCGCTGGCATGCCCGTCGAAGACACAGCGCGGCTGCTCCAGGGAGAAGGTGGTGGCCGTGACCTTCCCTTCCAGGTCCCAGGCTGTTATCTGCGGCGTGTAGGGCACCAGCTCTGTGGCCACGGGGGACAAAAGGTGAGCCACGGAGACGGGCTTGGGGGTCCCTGGGGCTGCCTCTCCCAGTCGGAGGCAGGTGGGCGCCCAGGGTCCAATCACTCCAGCAGGGCCCCCAGCCCCTTGGGTCTGGCTGGCCGCGTCCATCCAGGACCCCCACTCACCCAGGCTCAGGCTGGGCTGGAGACAGTTCAGTGCCATGAGGAGCATGTGCAGCCCTAGGAGAGGCTGCCCCCGGGGGAGCCCCATGACAGCTGCCAGCACCCAGGAGGCTCAGGGGCTGGTCTGGCCACCTTGGGCTGCACCCCACCCCCAGCAGCTTGGCCCTGGAGAAGCTGGTTAATCAGGCTGCCCCAGGGGCTGGAAAGACCTGCAAATATAAGCGCACCCCACCCCCTTCCTCCCAGTCCAGCCCCCAGCAGGGAGGAGCTGGGGGCGGTTCTGGAGGGAGGCAGGCCAGTGCCCAGCCCCACTGCCAGGGCCGAGGGAGAGGGACCACTGGACCCCCGGATGCCAGCCAGGCCTTCCCAGAGCTTGGATTGGGGCCCCTCCCAGTCTCTTGGCCCTGGGGAGGAGGGTCTGGCTTTTGGAAAGTTGGGCTCAGGACCACATGCTTGAGATTCCTGCGCCCCAGGTGCCAGGAGCCTCCCTCTGGCCGTCTGTCCCCACCCAGAGTCAGAAGTGGGGAGTAGCAGGCACCCTTAACCTGCCCAGCCCCAGCCCCATCACAGCACGCTGACCCTGCCCTCGACGAGGCCACATCCTCCCAGGTCACATCCTTGATTCCCCATCCAAAGGAAGAAGAACTTGGATTCAGAGAAAGGGCTGCAGAGCCCTTGACAGTTGACAAACCCTCCACTTACACTACTCCCAGGATTTGGTGCTATGTGTGTATTTTTCACATATATAACTCACATACCTTCACAGCTCAGTGGCTTAAATATGTATATGTCACCCAGGGAGGGCAGTGGTGAGAGCACAGCTAACTGGAGCCTCAAACTCCCAGGTTCAAGTAATCCTCCAACCTCAGTCTCCCCAGTAGCGGGAACCACAGGCACGCAACACCATGCCCTGGCTAATTTATTTATTATTTTTTAAAATTTTATTTAATTAATTAATTTTTTTTTGTAAGATGGAGTCTCCTCTGTCGCCCAGGCTGGAGTGCAGTGGTGTGATCTGGGCTCACTGCAACCTCTGCCTCCCAGGTTCAAGCGATTCTCCTGCCTCAGCCTCTCGAGTAGCTGGAATACAGGCACATGCCACCAGGCCCAGCTAACTTTTGTATTTTAGTAGAGACAGGGTTTCACCATGTTGGCTTGGCTGCTCTCAAACTCTTGATCTCAAGTGATCCGCCTGCCTCAGCCTCCCAAAGTGCTGGGATTACAGGCGTGTGCCACCGTGCCTGGCACCCCCGCCAATTTTTTTTGAGACGGAGTTTTCACTCTTGTTACCCAGGCTGGCTGGAGTACAATGGCCCGGTCTTGGCTCACTGCAACCTCCGCCTCCTGGGTTCAAGCGATTCTCCCGCCTCAGCCTCCTGAGTAGCTGTGATTATAGGCATGTGCCGCCACATCTGGCTAATTTTGTATTTTTAGTAGAGATAGGGTTTCTCCATGTTGGTCAGGCTGGTCTCGAACTCCCGACAGAGTCTCACCTTGTTGCCCCGGGCTGGAGTGCAATGGCACAATCTTTGCTCACTGCAAGCTCCACCTCCCAGGTTCAAGCAATTCTTCTGCCTCAGCCTCCCGAATAGCTGGGACTACAGGTGCCCCCCACCACGCCCGACTATTTTTTTTGTATTTTTAGTACAGACGGGGTTTCACTGTGTTAGCCAGGATGGTCTTGATCTGACCTCGCGATCTGCCCGCCTCGGCCTCCCAAAGTGCTGGGATTACAGGTATGAACCACTGCGCCCGGCCTGTGTCTGGCTTTTACTTTTTCAAGGTTCCTCCTTGACTGTGATTGCTTCATTCCTTTTCACAGTTGAGTAATATTCCATCCTGTGACGTGTCGCACTTTGATTCATCAGTGGATGCATAATTTGGTTTTTTCCTCTTTGGGGCTATTGTAAATAATGCTGCCATGAGCATCTGTTTGCAGGCTTCTGTGGGGACATTTTCAATGCTCTTGAGTACGTACCTAGGAGCGGAACTGTGGTCACACACTAATGCTCCTTTCAGAGGTTCCGTTTGCCGAAGTGGCTGCATTTTACATTCCCAGTAGCAGTGGATGAGGGTCTCATTTCTTGACATCCTCTCCAACATTGCTTTATTTTTGTTTCAGTATAGCCATCATAATGGGTGTAGTGTGGCATCTCATGGTTTTTATATTTTTGAGACGGTGTCTTTTTCTGTTGCCAGGCTGGAGTATGGTGTGGCATGATCTCGGCTCACTGCAACCTCTGCCTCTCGGGTTCAAGCAGTTCTCCCGCTTCAGCCTCCCGAGTAGCTGGGATTACAGGTGCTATCACCACACCCAGCTAATTTTTTAATATTTTTGGTAGAGACACAGTTTCATCATGTTGTCCAGGCTGGTCTCGAACTCCTGACCTCAAGCGATCCACCCACCCCGGCCTCCCAAAGTGCTAGGATTACAGGCGTGATTCACTGTGCCCAGCCTGGCCCTTTATCTTCTTCGGAGGAACATCTATTCTAGTTCTTTGTGCATTTTTAAATTGGGTTGTCTTTTTATTGAGGTTTTCTCATTTTTTGTTTGTTTTTGTTTTTGAGACAGGGTCCAGGCTGGAGTGCAGAGGCATAATCTCGGCTCACTGCAACCTCTGCCTTCTGGGTTCAAGCAATTCTCCTGCCTCAGTCTCCAAGCAGCTGGAAGTATAGGTGCCCACCAACACGCCCAGCTAATTTTTGTATTTTTAGTGGAGACGGGGTTTCACCATGTTGGCCAGGATGGTCTCTAACTCCTGACCTCAGGTGATCCGCCCACCTTGGCCTTACAAAGTGCTGGGACTACAGGCATAGGCCACTGCACCCAACCTATTGCTGAGTTCTAAGGGTTCTTTATATATTCTGGATACTAGATCCTTATCAGGAATGCGATTTGAAAATATTTTCTCCCATCCTCATCCTCAGAATCCTTTCAAGGAGAAGCATCCAAGGCTCAGGCACCCACCCCAACTCCTGCACTCACAGGCAGTGTGAGTACGGAGTCTCAAATGTGGAACCAGGCCAGGCACAGTGGTTCACGTCTGTAATCCCAGCACTTTGGTAGGCCGAGGCGGGAGGATCACCTGAGGTTAGGAGTTCAAGACCAGCCTGGCCAACACGGTGAAACCCTGTTTCTACTAAAAATACAAAAATTAGCTGGGCGTGGTGGTGGGTGTCTGTAGTCTCAGCTACTCAGGAGGCTGAGGCAGGAGAATCGCTTGAACCCGGAAGGTGGAGGTTGCAATGAGCCGCGATTGCACCACTGTGCTCCAGCCTGAGTGACAGAGTGAGGTTCCGTCTCAAGACCAACCAACCAATCAAATGTGGAACCAAACAAGTTTGGGGTCCAGCTACGCTGGGGTCTTCTAGGGAGGCCTCAGTACCCTTTTTCCCTGGACCATGTTACCATTAGGCATAGTGCCCTGGGCCCACACTGTTTATAACAGCCCACATACTTTTTTTTTTTGAGACAAAGTCTCGCTCTGTCACCCAGGCTGGAGTGCAGTGGCCGGATCTCAACTCACTGCAAGCTCCGCCTCCCGGGTTCACGCCATTCTCCTGCCTCAGCCTCCCGAGTAGCTGGGACTACAGGCGCCCGCTACCTTGCCCGGCTAGTTTTTTGTATCTTTTAGTAGAGATGGGGTTTCACCGTGTTAGCCAGGATGGTCTCGATCTCCTGACCTCGTGATCCACCCGCCTCAGCCTCCCAAAGTGCTGGGATTACAGGCATGAGCCACCTCGCCCGGCCGATCCCACATACATTTTTAATTTCCGTTAAAATCAGAAGGGAGAAAAATGAACCTTTAGGTGAGAGAAAATCCTCTAGTATACATTAATATATTCATCTTTATACCAACATGTTGTAAAATAGATTTTTTAACAGAGAAAGGGGCTCGCCAAGGCCAAAGTGCCTCTGCTTCCCACAGCCAGGAACGAGGTGGCCCTGCCGTCCCTCTCTGGTCCCAGGCCCAAACTCCTCCTCCCGGACAGGCAGCACAATCTTGACTGGGGATATCTGATCCAAATTCCAAGAGGGTCAACAATTAGAACTTTTACAATGGTGTCAGATCAACCCTGGCCTGGATTCCACCTACCTAGCCAAGCATTCAATCTGTCTTTTTATTATTGTTATTTTACAGATGGGATCTTGCTCTGTTGCCCTAGCTGCAGTGCAGTGGTGCAATCAGAGCTCACTGCAGCCTTGAACTCCTGGGCTCATGCGATCCTCCCACCTCAGCCTTCCGACAGCTGGGACTACAGGCAGGTGCCAGCATGCCCGGCTTATTTTTTTTTTGAGACGGAGTCTTGCTCTGTGGCTCAGGCTGGAGTGCAGTGGCATGATCTTGGCTCACTGCAACCTCCACCTGCTGGGTTCAAGCGATTCTCCTGCCTCAGCCTCCTGAGTAGCTGGGATTACAGGAGCACGCCACCACGCCTTTTTGTATTTTTAGTAGAGACAGTGTTTTGCCATGTTGGCCAGGCTGGTCTCAAATTCCTGACCTCAGGTGATCCACTTGTCTCGGCCTCCCAAACTGCTAGGATTAGAAGCATGAGCCACGGCACCTGGCCTAACTTTTTTTTAGAGATGAGGTCTTGCAATTCTGCTCAGGCTGGTCTCAAACTTCTGGACTAAAGTGAGCCTCCTGTCTTGACCTCCTGAGCAGCTGGGATAACAGGCATGCGTCACCATCTCTGGTTCAAGTCATTGCACCTTTGAACCTGTGTCCACATCAGTAAAACAGACAGCAGCTCCAATCCTAAGTGAATGGCATTTTGTGAACCACAACCCCAGGGCCACAAAGGTGACAGCTGGTGCTCTGGGGTGACAGCCCCTGGCACAGCAGGGTGATCAGCGTGGGGCATGTGGGGCATGTGGAGGCGGCATAGTCCGGTACCATAGGCTTCTCCACGCCTCGCTGTAGCCTGTTCTTCAGTAATCAAATGGGAGCTGATGAGCCCACGGGACCTCCTCCTGCTCTGATGCAGGAAGTGTGGGGGGCACGCGTGCACACACACACACGTACTCATGCACACACCCAGGACCTGCTGACTTTGGCTATAGAACATTTATTGCAAACAAAATTGAGGTAAAAGAAGCTGACCCAGAACCCACGCCCGTCCAGGCTGGGGAAGTCTCTAGTTGCCCCACACCAGGCCCCGAGCACCGCTGGCCCGAAGCAGCCCCCAGAGGACAGACGGGCCCTGCGCACTGAGGTAGCTGCATCTTAAGCCCCCATGAGTACAACTGCCCAGGACTGCCCAATTCCTGGAGGGGAGGAAGGAGAGGCAGGCAGGGGGAGCCCCGGCTTCAGGTGGGGCACACCCCACACCCCCAACAAACCTCCCAGCCTCCCGGGCTAGGCACTTCCTGCCTGGCCACCCAGCCAGCCATGGGGCAGCGGGGTGGCCACCAGAGGCGGGTGTGCTGGGGCACAAGGTCACTGCTGCTCCAGACAGTCCTCGGTCACCCCCTGGGCGGCCAGCTCAGCCAGCACGTTCTGCAGGTAGTTGGGGTCGGGGTAGCCATGGCCCGTAACGTTGCGGTCCATCTCTGTCTTGTGGTGGATCTCGTTCCACACCACAGTGTCCGTCTCACCCGTGGTGCTGGACGTGCCCACTGTAAAGATGAGCCGCCTCTTCCAGGCCACCTTCAGGAGCTCTAGGACCTGCCCGGGGAGGAGGAGGGGGAAGAGGAAGGAGGGAACGGGGAGAGAGAGGGGCTCAGTGAGCAGGCACAGGCTGGCACCATGTTCTTCCCATCCCAGCCCCTCCTGGGTGACCTCATCCACTCCCTGGCACTCACCCCATCTGCAGGGACCCCAAAACTGCCCACTGGACAGTACATTAGGATCCCACAGAAGCCTGGGCTCCAGCCCACCCTGCCTTGGTGCCAGGCACTGCCATCGTTTGGTTCTGATGCCCAGGCACCATGCTTGAGTCCTCCCTGCTTCCAGAGCCGGTGCTGGACGAGCACCGGCCCATCCACCCTCCCTGGTGGAATCCAGGCCTCCCTGCCCTCTCCCTGCCCTCTCCTCACCTCCAGCTCTGCCACCTTGAGCCCATTCTCACACGGCCAGAGGAGCTTTTCCAAAGCTCCATCAGCAGCTCCACCTCCGTGGCTTCCCTGGGCGCTCAGAACCAGCTCTACCCCTGGGGTTGGCCTGGGGGGTGGCCTTGCCTTCACACCCTCACCATGGGCTCCCACCCTCCTCGCCAGCTGTCCTGCCTGCCTGGAAGGCTCATCCCCAGCCTTCTCTGCAGTCACAAAGTCCCTATTCAGGTCTCAGGGCAGACATGACTGCTCCAGCCTTCCTTGGTCACCTGGTCTAACACAGTCCCCAGTCCCTCCTCTGACTCTCAGGAGCTCCTGACCCCACCCAGCCGGGTGCTGGAAGGCGATGGCCCCTCCTCCTCCCTCAAGGCTCTGTGAGGTCCAGGCTGCCCTCCCTGTACCTACAGCAGGTCCCCAGAAAAGAGCAGCAGACACCGAGCCCGGCCTCAGCCTCTGTCCTCCGCTGCAGTAGTAGAGAGCACAGTGTGGCGTCTGGCCTCCCGCTGCGTGGTCAGGGCCCTGTTCACCCCCGGGGCGCATAGTGGCACTTACCTTGCGACCCTGGGCATTGTCTGGAAGGTAGCACTGGCGGGGAAACCCTCTGGCAGTGAATGGCTTTCCGGGATTGGGGTGCTCAGGGCCCTGCCGGAGGAACAGACACCAGGATAGGGTGCTCCAAGAGCCCGCACAGGGACAGGCCCCTGCACTGGTCCAGCCTCTCCCCGGTTCCAAGATGCCAACCCTGAATGTTCCTAATTTCCCTCTGAGCTGCGGAGAAGTGGAGGGAAACCACGGGAAAGGCTCACGGTTCAACACGACAAAAAGACCACTCCATCCACCACAGGTGGACCTTGACTGGTACCCACTGCCCCATTATCTTCCCACCCTGCCCCAGACCCTGCCATCCACCCTCTGCCCGAGACGGGAGACTGAAAGGGCCAGGGCTCGTCTGGTTCTCCTCAGGGATGCTGGGGCCTTGTGCCTGGGCTTCTGACACCCACACACCTGGCCCCGCCACTCCCAACCCAAGGTTCCTCGATGCACACCCTGCTGTGACCCCACTTCTCTAGCCCCTCCGCAGGGTTCCTCCCACTGAACTGCCTGTCCTTCTGCCCAGAACAAGTCTAGCTAAGATGGCTCCTCCTCCAGGAAGGCTTCCCTGGTTCGGGAAAGAGTGGAGGGCCAGCTCTCTGCTGCCACAGCCCTAAGAGCTTGCCCTAAGCCCCGGCACTGCCTCCCCATTCCTGGCTCTCCATGGCCCTGGCCTTAGGGGACCTGGGGGCCTGAGCTTGGCCACATGGGCATCCTCAGCCTTGATCCAGGGGCAGACTGCTGGGATGTGGGTGGGGTGGGAAAAGGAGCAGCCGGGAGTGGGGGACTCCAGGAAGGCCCCTCACCTGGATGCCATGGGGAATGTTGTAAACTATGAGGATGGTCCCGCAGTCCTCGTGGCCGGGGAGCGACATCTGGAACCGTAATACCTCCATCTTTCCCTGGGGCTGGGTCCCTGTCTTCTCTCCATAGATGGTTTTGCAGGAGGGACACTGCAGACTTCCATCCTGAGAGAGGCAGACGCGACCCACTGAGCTGGCTGTCTGAGAGCACCAAGACGGTCACCTCCACCGTCAGATGGTAAAGGGCCCCGGGAACGGGCCGGCCGCCATCCCAGGGAGTTGCTGGCAGCCTCCCGCCCAGAAACTGGCTTCCAACAGCTTCCCTGGAAAGCTTTGTTTTGCACCAGCAACTCATTATGCCGTTTTCGTTACAGGAGCATGCTATCAGGAGACAGGTGGCGAGTGGGAAAACTCGGATCCTGAGCAGAATTCTCCACGGGTGAAGCGCATGTGAAGTCCGACAGACAGCCTTGCAGCGCCTGATCCGAGGAGCTGGGCCCTGGCTGCCCAGGACGGCAGACACTAGGGAAGGCCAAGCCAGGCTCTGACGCGCCACATGACTTGGTTCTCTAAGCCTCCAAACTCTGCCCATCCTGCCTGAAGGTCGCTGCAGGGACAGCAGCTGGGGGTCGGCTTGGGCGTGGCTCTTCACGTTTAGGTGCCGTGGGACCCAGGGTCAGCCCTGCCTCGAGGCCTGGCTCCCACCTCCCAGCGGGGCGACCCTGGGCACGGCCCCTGCTCTGAGCCCCTCCCTCATGAGCACTGTGCTGACCGCACAGGGACGCTGTAAGGAAGAAGGGAGACAGCGTGTGCAGCGCTTACAAGTGGCCGAGGGGGTGGCGGTGCCCTGAGGCTTGGAGAAGCCCACAATCTCCTCAGGACTGGTTGGAGGGGTGGAGGGAACCAGTCCCATTGGTCCCCCTTTCTAAAGCGTGGGGCAGGCCTAGGAGAGTAGGGCAGGCCTGGGAGAGCCAGCCAGGCCTTTAGAAAGGTCTTCAAGCTGGCCCCACGCCCGGCACCATCTTTTGCAGAGGCCCGTCCCCACAGCCACCCCCAGAACCCTCCCGCCTCTGCAGGTGTGGACAGCTCAGGACTGTGGGGGCAGGCCACCCGCCTCCACCCCAGGCCAGTGGGGGCACCTTGTTGCCATTGCAGTACATGGCCAGCAGGCACAGCAGGTGGAAGGCGTGACTGCACTTGGTGAGGCAGCCCACAGCCAGGGGCCCGATGGCCTTGCTGTCAGTCACGTCGCTGTACCCAGATGCTGCGGACAGCTTCTCCATGCAGATGATGCAGTCCTGGAGGAGACCAAACACAGGTCATGCTCGCCAACAGTGGGCTGGGCTGACGAGGGCCAGTCTTGGAAAAAGAGGCTTTCATGTGCTGAAATGCTGGAAGTGTGGTCAAAGTCAATTCCAAGACCAGGCACAGTGGCTCAGCCCTGTAATTCCAGCACTCTGGGAGGCCGATCACTTGAGGTCAGGAATGTGAGGCCAGCCTGGCCAACATGGGAAAACTCCATGTCTACTAAGAACACAAAAATTAGCCAGGCGTGTTGGTGGGCGCCTATAATCCCAGCTACTCGGGAGGCTGAGGCAAGAAAATTGCTTGAACTCAGGAGGTAGAGGTTGCAGAGCTGAGATTGTGCCACTGCACTCCAGCCTGGGCGACAGAGTGAGACTCCATCTCAGGAAAAAAAAAAAAATCGTCCATTCCACAGGCTGGAAACACAGGTGAGTCACCGGGACCTGTGCCCTTAAAGAGCTTAACAGCAGCACAGGCCCGACATGACAGCAGGAGCCACCAAATGGGGAGGATGGACAGGGCAGGATCCTGGGGGAGGCCCTCGGAGTGGGGCTGTACAAGGGAGACAGGAATTGCCAGATGGACAAGCACGGAGCGGGCACCTGGGAAGAGGGAGGAGGACGTTTTGAACGAGAAGCCAGCACATGGGCACTAAAGCTGGCGGGGGGAGAGCAGGAGATGAGACAGGATCAGGGAGAGGCGGGCCCTCGGGGCTCTGGCTGCCACACTCAGCGGCTGGGGCTGTGTGTGAGTTGGGGATCCTGCTGGGGGTTCCAGGCAGGGAGTGCTCCCACGATCTGAGCTACGTGCTGGCTGTGCAGACGGCAGCTTGGAGAGGAGGAGCCTGGGGTGAAACGGCCCAGTCATACCAGATGGGCACCAGGGCGGAGACAGAGCCAAGCACTGGGCAGAAGGGAATGTGGCAAGGGCTTGTTGAAGGGGTGGGACGAAGGAGGAGGACTTTGAGGCTCCTGTCCAAAGCTTTACTTACCAGATTTTTTTCATGGACTCAACTGACTGGAGAGAGACATAAGTGAAGAGTCCCTGGGTACTGGGGCTCCTGGCCTTTCACCCGTCCCCCAGTATCTGAAGATCTCTGGGTACTGGTACTCCTAGCCATTCACCCTACCCCCCAACAGTATCTCCAGGGTTCCCCACTAAAATCGGGGGAAAGGGGTGCCGCAGCCCCCAAAACGTGGCTCAGCAGAGGTTCAGGTTCTATGGAAGAGCAACAGGAGTCTCACTGGTCCCGTTCATTACAGGAGGCCAGGAGGACAGGGCTGCAGTGAGCTGTGATCACGCCACTGCACTGAGCCTGGGTGACAGCGTGTGCCCCTGTCTTTAAGAATAAAAACATTATAGGAACCTTAACCAGCTCTCCCAACAGCTGGAGGGGCAGGGCAGCCACCTGGACGAGGCCACCTCACTTCTACACCAGCATCCGCACGGCGGAGAGTGGGGCAGGCTGGCCCATCCCTTGTCTCCGGGATTCCTGCTCCCAGGACGGCCATGAGGCTACAGAGAGGCCAGGGCCGGGAGAGGAGGGACTTTGCTCAGGACCACAGCTCCTTAAGTGCAAAGCTCAGATCATAACGATATGGGTCTCAGGAGGCTGGGAGATGAAACCAAAGGGGCTGGAGCAAGGTCCTGGCACCCAGAGGCACCTGGGAAGCACCCTTCAAGCGGGAAGGGGCAGATGTCCTTTCTATCTGGAGTTGTCTGCAAACAGAAACAAAGGCAGCCCAGCTCCCAAGACACAAACCTCATCTGGGGGCACTTGCAGCTCTTCCGTGTAGTTTTTTATGACCTGCTCTGGCTGTAGCTCTGGCTTCGGGGTCCCTCCTAGAAGAGAGAAGTACATAAGCAGCATCCTGAGGAACACAGGCTGGATAGGAGGCCAGAGGGCGACGAAGGCAAAGGAAAGGTCCAAGCTGCCAGGAGGAAATGCGAGAGGGTCCCAGACAGGGAGGCCAGTGTGCAGGACGGGAGAGCGCAGCGCCAGGTACAGAGCCCCGAGCTCCACCGGGCAAAGCCTTACCCAGTCCCAACGTCCAGGGACCTGGCTCAGCCGCAGGAGCCCTAGAGGATGCAGAAGAGCAGAAACAGCAGCACAGTCTCCTGGGAGCCGCAACCCCACGCACATTCAGTGAGGAAACCGACACAGGCGCTACTGAGGCTGCGCCGAAGAGTCAGACAGCAGCTTCGGCACAAACTACTCCAGGGGGCGTTGCGGCAGCACAATTTGATTCAGCTTGCATTACCCTGGCATGAACATCGCGGGGAGACGGGAGTCTGGGGCCCAGCATGTACGGGCAGCTGCACACACTCTTGACTGCTACACCGATACTGTCCCGGGAAACGCCTGCCACTGACTGGGAGGGTCTGTCACGTGCCGATTAGCTCCTAAGTCCAGCCACTCTGGGGAGGGGCCGAGTCGTGGCAGGAGCCCACCCTGACTCACTCGCCGTCTGTGCACACGTGCATGAAGCAGGAGGGAGAAGGGCTGCATCTCCATAAACACCAAACCCCGCATCCAGTAAAGTCCCTCCTACAGACAGGAAGCTCCCCCACTTGGTGAGGATCGGCGCGGCCCGGGAGGCTCTCTAGGTAGCGGGGGTAGCAGAACCACAGAGGCCAGCAGCTAAGCCCGTGCGGGAGTGAAAGAGGAACGGGGAGCCCAGTGCCGCCCGTGGAGGCGCTCCTGACAGGGGCTCCACCCCAAGGTCATGGTGGGGCTGCTGGTGGTTCCAGACTCCAGGACCAGAAGGGGCTCTGGTTTGAACCCAAGCTCATGGCCATCATCAGGGGCTGCAGAGAATTCTAAGCCTGAGGGCTCACAGCTGCACCTGCCGAACTCCCCCTACATCAAAAAGGGCCAGGGAGGGGACAGTTTGGCAGGGAGGTGCCCTGGTGGGGTGGAGGCTGGAGTCAGCACGGTTTGTTTGATTCTGGTTCTCTTGCTGTGACTGAATCATGTCACCTCTGAGCCTCGGTTCCCTGATCTCAAACAGGAAAAAGGAATATGTAACCAAGCTGGAATTGCTGTGATGGCATTCGCTGCTGTGGCCTGGAGGGAAGCTGCTGGCAAGACCATACCCACCAACGCCCGTCCACACGCCCCACACCTCCACTCACACCCCCCACTCCTACAGACCCCACACCTACACACACACCCACATAACCCACACCTCCACACCCCACAACTCCACCCACACCCCCACATAACCCACACCTCCACACCTCACAACTCCACCCACCACCTCCACACCTCACAACTCCACCCACACCCCACATAACCTGGCCACCTCCACACCTCCCACAACTCCACCCACACCCTGCCACAACCCACACCTCCACACCTCACAACCCACCCACACCCCACAACCTACACCCACACCTCACAACCCACCCACACCCCCACACAACCCACACCTCCACACCTCACAACTCCACCCACACCCCCACATAACCCATACACTCTCCACACCTCAACCTCCACCCACACCCCTGCCATAACCCACACCTCCACACCTCACAACTCCACCCACACCCCCCCACATAACCTAACCTCCACACCCTGCTAACCCACCCACCCCACATAACCCACACCTCCACTCCCTCACAACTCCACCCACCCCCCACATAACCCACACCCACACCTCACAACTCCCACCCACACCCCACATAACCCACACCTCTACACCTCACAACTCCACCCACACCCCCACATAACCCACACCTCCACCCCTCACAACTCCACCCACACCCCCCCACATGACCCACACCTCCACCCCCACAACTCCACTCCACACCCCACATAACCCACACCTCCACACTCCTCACAACCCACCCACACCCCACATAACCCACACCTCCACACCTCACAACTCCACCCACACCCCACATAACCCACACCTCCACACCCTCACAACCTCCACCCACACCCCCACAACCCACACCTCCACACCCCCACAACTCCACCCACACCCTCATATAACTCACACCTACACCTCACAACTCCACCACACCCCAACCCCGTCCACACACCCCACACCTCCACTCATACCCCCCCCCAATCCACACCCACACTCCCCACATACACCCTGGCCAACCCACCCACACCTCCACAACCCACACCTCCACACCCCCCACACACATACCCAACTCCACCCACACCCCCACATAACCTACACCTCCACACACCCCTCCTAACTCCACCCACACTCTACACCTCCACATAACTCACACCTCCACAATTCTGCCACCCCACCCACACCCCCAACTCGCTCCACATACTCCCACACCTCCACTCACATCCCCCACTCCCACACACACACCCCACAACTCCACCCACACCCACATAACCCACACCTCCACACACCCCACACCTCCACACCCCACACTCCCACACACCTTGCATAATTTCCACACACCCCACACTTCCACACACCCACACACTCCCCCTCTAGAACCACATACCTCCCACACACACACTCCACACATCCCACACCTCCACACACACCCTGCCAAACCCACATACCTACACCCCACATACTCCACACATCCCACACCTCCACACACCCCCCCACAACCCACATACCTCCACATATCCACTCACACACCACACTCCAGCCACACCCCCACAACCCACAATTCCCCACACAACCACATACCTACACACACACACCTCCACACATCCCACACCTCCACACACCCCCACAACCACATACCTCCACACATCCCCACACCTCCACACACCCCCACAACCCAAGAGACTCACACACCCCACACACCTCCACACACCCTCTACAACCCACATACTCTCCAAGCACACCCCCACAACCCAGCATACCTCCACACACACACCTCCACACATCCCACACCTCCACACACCCCTCACAACCCACATACCTCCACACACCCCACACCTCCACACATCCCACACCTCCACACACCCCCACAACCTACAGGCCTCCCACACACACACTTCACACATCCACACCTCCACACCCCCTCACAACCCACATACCTCCACACACCCCACACCTCCACACATCCTACACTTCCACACCCCCCCACAACCTGCAGGGTACCACACACACACTTCCACACATCCCACACCTCCACACACCCCCACAACCCACAGCATACCTCCACACACCCCCACACCTCCACACATCCCACACCTCCACACCCCCCCCACAACCCACATGCTACCTCCACACACCTTACACCTCCACACATCCCACACCTCCACACACACACCCCCACAACCCACATACCTCCACACACACACACCTCCACACATCCTACACCTCCACACCCCCACAACCCACATACTCACACACCCCACACTCCCACACATCCTACACTCACACACCCCTATTGTCTGCTATACTCATGTACACACACCTCCACACATCCTACACCTCCACACACCTCCACACCTCACACTTCCACACACACACACTCCCACACACATCCTGTACCTCCACACAATTTCCACACCCACATACTCACACATCCCACACCTCCACACATCCCACACCTCCACACCCCCACAACCCCCATACCTCCACACACACACCTCCACACACCCCACACCCCACACATACCTCCACACATCCCAGACACCTCCTGCTGGCCCCCACACCACATACCTCCACACACATCCCACACTTCCACACACCCCCACAACCACACCTCCACACACCCCACACCTGGCTGCCATCCTACACCTCCACACACCCCCACACACCCTACATACCTCCACACATCCCACACCTCCACACACCCCCACAACCCATACCTCCACACACCCCACACTCCACACACATCCCACCTTCCACACACCCCCACACCTGCCATATACTCTACACAACACACTTCACACATCCTGCACTTCCACACACCCCCACAACCCATACTTCACATATCCTACACTCTCCACACATCCCACACTCCCACACACCCCCACAACCTACATACACTTCACACACTCCTACACCCCTGCCACATCCTCACACTCTCACACACTTCCCCACAACCTATACACTCACAGCAATTCCCACACCCCACACATCCACACCTCCACACACCCTACAACCCACATACCTCCACACACACACCTCCACACATCCCACACCTCCACACACCCCCACAACCCACATGGCTCACACACACTCCCCTCCACACATCCCACACCTACACACACCCCACAACCCACACATACTCTCCACACACACACACTCTACACATCCTACACTCCACATACCCCCACAACCTACATACTTCCACACACCCTACACCTCCACACATCCTACACCTCCACACACTTTGCCACAACCTACATACTTCCACACATCCTACACCTCCACACATCCTACACCTCCACACACCCCCTCCATACACTCCCCACAACCCACATACTCCACACACCCTACACCTCCACACATCCCACACCCCACACATCCCACACCTCCACACACCCCCACAACCCACATACCCACACACCCCACACCTCCACACATCCTACACTCCACACACCCCCACAACCCACATACTCTGCACCCCACATACCTCCACACACACACACTTCCACACACCCCCCACAACTCCACATACCTCCACACACCCACACCTCCACACACCCCATACCTCCACACACCCCCTCCACACCCTACACTCTGCACAATAATCCCACACTCCACACACCCTCCACATACACTCCTACACTCCACACACCTCACCGACACCTCCACACACACCCATCTCCACACACCCCACACACCTCCACACACCTCTCCCTACACCCCACACCTCCACACACCTCACACACCCTACACCTCAAACACCCCACATACCTCCACACACCCCACACCTCCACACACTTCCACACAGCCCACACCTCCATACACCTCCACCCCCCACCCACACTTTCACACACCTCACACCTCCACACATCCCACACAACCCCAAACTTCTACACACCCCACACCTCAAACACCCCACACAACTCCACACACCCATACAGACCGCCCGAACCCACACTCCAGTCACTGTGGCGAGAACGCCAGACCAGAATGATGGTTCCCCAGCTCAGGGTGGCCCTCCGTGTGGCTGGGACGCCCTACTCAAGCTGAGGGGGGGCCTTTTCCTTTAGAAAAGCCTGCCAATTCCAGAGCCATCTCCGGGTGAGCCTGGGCCGTGCCTCGCCTCTGCCCAGCGCTGGTGAGGCCAGGCACAGCATCCCACCCCCGCCACCCACCCCAGCCCTTGCAGCTTTTCAGAATGGAAGGGAGCTTTCCATTAGCCACATGTCTCAAAAGGGTCCAGCCAGGTGACCCGCCAAGAGCCTGTCCTTCCCAGGTAAACCCAAGTGCCACAGAAGGTTGCCAGCCCGGCCTGCCAACGAGTCCGGCTCCTCCCCCAGGGCAGGAGCTCAAGGCCCACCCCTCCCTGAGCACACCTCCTCGCCTGTGGGCTAGAGGTCGGACACGATCGGAAGCCACCCTTGCCGCATGCCAGGTGCTTCGAGTACTTCCTAGTCCTTGCCCAGCCCCTCTGCTAAGCGGAGGCTCCGGGAGGACCTGCTGAGATGACACAGCCACTGAGTGCCAGCAGGACCACGGCCACCCTCCCTGCCCACCACCACGCCCACTCGAGAGAGTCTGGACTGGCCGCAGTCCACACTTCCGCAGCCCGGGGGTGGAAGCAGGGCCAGCACCCGCTTGGGAAAGGTTCAGAACTTGATCATCACAGGCTGCTCCGAGCAGGTCTTGCTGTAACTCCCTGGACCTGCTGTGGTCCTAAAGCCCCTCCTTCCCTGGCCATGCAACGAGCAGGGCAGAGGTCACCAAGGGACCCCTCTCAGGCAGCCCACGTGGCGGCCACACAGGGCTGGGGACCAGGGCAGCAGACCTGGGCAGTAGACTTGGGCCACTGTCTGGGAGCCTTTCCCGAGACACATGCTGGCCCTGGCAGAAGGGACGGTTGTCCCCGCATCCTGAGCCGGGCACCGCCTATCACCCACAACTTGTTGCTTATAAAAATCACAAAGTCCTCAAGAACAAGCCCCCCTCAGGCCAGCTGTGACTAGAGGAGAGGAGCTGAACTCTGGGAATGCGGCGGAAAGTCAGCTTCCAGGGGCCGCCTCTGCTGCCGAGTGAGGGCAGGGAGAAGGGCCACTGAGCCCCTTCCCACAGGAGACTGGGCGCAGAGAGAAGGAAGAGCGTCTGTGCAGGACAGTCAGAGGCAGCGAGGCTGGAAGGAGGCTTAGCAAAGGCCAGAGAGCTTTTGGGAACAGGAACTACCTTTCACGGACATTTTCCTCAATTTCTTAACTGAGCTGTGACTTTTAGAGGCCAGACGGGAGGCGGGAGGGCTGACGGGCTGGGGTGCGCGGCTAAGACACACGGGGAGTCCAATGGCTGACATCAGAACACTCGTCATGCCTGCACGGGTGTGAGATCAGACACGCAGAGAGGGAGAGACATTAGAAGATTCATTCGGCATGTCACGCCAACAAACTCTGCTCAGGCCAAGGACGTGACACCATCAATGGCCACAGGGACCCCCAGGTCTCCCTGGGGAATGCGGCCTCTAGCGGCTGCCAGGACTACCCAGGCCAGGAACCAAAGGGTGGGGCAGCCTGGTTCATGGAAGCCCTGGCCCCAGGGCCCACAGACAAGCCTATGCCCTCAGTGCGCAGGTGGGGACCGGACGGGGCCTGTGACTTCAGGAGAGCAGAGGGCGGAAGACACCACTCCAGGAAGCCGCCCAGGGCATGGGGTCTCCTGGGTGGGGCTGCTCCAAGGGCTCAGCTTCCCCAGGAGGCCCTGGGCCTTCCTGGCTTGGGGTTACCAGGCCTCCAGCTTCCACCTGGCACTCGCTGTGTGGGCTCCACACCCCTCCTGGCTGATCTGGGTGCCACGGCCTTCATGGACGCACTGGGGTGGACGGGCAGGAACGTGGCCCCTGGGCCTGCTCCCACACCGCAGCGTCCTCATCCTGTGAGGGCTGGGCTGCAGCAAAGCCCCAGGCTGTGGCTCTGATGCCCTCGGGCAAGGGTGGGCCTGTGGTCAGCAGCTATGCTGAGACGGACCGGCCACGCTCTCCAGGGCTCACCGCTGCCCAATACCTGCAGGGAGCCCCGCACTTGTCCTGGGGAGAACCTCCTCTGACACTGCTTCCTTTGTGCTCCCTGATGACCTAGCACTTCCTGGGACACAGCGTGTCCTCCTGCTGGAAGAACCCGTTCCTGCCACACCCTCGGCCTACCCCGCTCTCCATAGTGCCAGCTCCCTGGTCCTCCCTGTCATTCGTCAGTCAGGTCAAAATCACCTCCTCTCCAGGGAAAGGGGAAGCCCGGAGCTTCTTAGCCATCCCTTAAGGTGGCTTTCGGGGTCTGCAGAACCTGGCTCAGAGGCTGGGCACAGCCGGGTGCCGGGGGAGTTGGCAGAGATCCCAGCCCCCCTGGACCCCACTCCCCATCCAGGAACAGACGGCGTGACTCAGGGGTGAGGGGCGGCCAGGCCAGTCACGGCGCTCCCACTAGAAGAACAAAGTTTCTCAACCCGGCACATGTGCCTGGCTATGGGGACAGAAGCGGAGGCCAGCCACCAGCCTGGGCAGCACAGCCAAGGCGGGCAGGGTGAGTTGCAGTGGCTGCTCAGCAGGAGACACCAAAGCGTGCATCAGAGGGCGGAGGTTCGAGCCCGGGAGCGTAATGCCCTCAACGTCCCAAGCTTGTTCCTGGCTCAAATGCAGTTCCTGTGGGAACTGAATTTCGGGTGGAGAGAAGGACAAGCGGGCGCGATGGCAGAGAGATGGGAGAGGACAGGGACAGGTGCAGCTTTCCTTAAGAGAACCTGGTGCCTCTGCACTGCCCGCGTCTTCTGGGAGGACCAAAGACCAGAACACGTCTCCCTACCCAGGGTTCTCCGGCAGCACTGCCTCGGTGGGCAGCCCTTCCCTGAACACCGCCTGACGGGGCCTGTGCCTCCAAGCCTCCTGCCCCGCTCTGCTGGACTCCCCCTGCTATGCACTCTCCTCTGTTTCTATGGACTGTCTTCCCTCAGCACCAGTTCCACGAGGTCCCGCCCGCAGCTGCATCTCCAGTCCCTGGTCCCTGGGAGGCCTGCAGCCCTCTGTGTTTGCTGAGGAATGAAGACATCCCTGGGCTGCCACCAGCCCCCAGGAGGCCACAGCCACATGAGCGACACGCGTGTCCTTTTCAACGCAGGACCCACTCCCCTGAATTCAAGTCACAAACACACAAGTTTCAACCCAGAAGCCTGGAGAAAAGGAGGGCTAGGGACAGCCCCCCAAACTCCTGACAGCCCCCAAATCACCTGAATAACTCAGAGGGCCACAGCCTTTTTCTCTACCCATCTGGGAGGATTCCCGCTGTCAGAGCCCCGAAGAGTGAAGCCCCCACTCACTGACTCTCACTTCCAATTTGCAGACACCCCTCCTTCTAACACCCAGGGCCAGGGCTGAGATCCAAGCCTCTCCTCTATGTGCTCTGACCTCCCAGCCTGGGTTCGAGCCCAGTGCCAGCCCTCACCAGCTGACCAGTCCTGGGCGGGCTGCTGACACCCACCCCTGCCCCGGGCAGCAGTGTGAGCTGTGGATGGACCGCTGTTGTGACCAGAGGAGGGGTGAAGACCCTGGCCCCAGTCTCACAGTCCCTACCCCCACCCGATAAAGGAGGGGCTGGGCTATGCCACAGCCAGGGGAGCTGTCACCTGGAGGCACTGTCACCTGGAAGCAGTGCCTCCTGCACCCAGTCCTTCCAAAGCATGACCTCCTGGTTATAAACCTCCTTGAAAACCCTGTGCGCGAAGACTCGTCTCTGCAGCCGGGCATGGTATAACTCCTCAACCCACAAGCACGCCAGGGTGACAGGACACCACTCTCCAGCTCTGGCTCTGGGGTGCTGGCCAGGCTCCTCTCATTCCCCGCTCCCCTAGACAACACTCCCCCCAACAGGTACCAACAATGGGCCTTGAACTGGGGGAGACAGCAGGCTACACAGCCTCCAGGCTCTCCTATTTCCTTAGGCCTGAACCAGCTTCCCGAACCTGTTTCCCCACAAGTAAAATGGACGTTAAAATACCTACTTTGCTCCGGGATTGCTCTGGGATTGCTCTGAGAGCCACGGGGACAGAGAACAGGATGGACAATTTGGGACGCAGCCTGGATAGGACCTTCAGCCTCAAGAGCAGAGGAAGAGGGCAGGTGGTAACTCCACATCCAGGGCACTCAGATCTGTGTCATGGCCTCAGAGGTCGCTGTCAGGCCTGGCCATGAAGGCTCGCGACAGCCCCAGAGCTGGAAGGAGCTGGGCCATGAGGAACCGTGTGCGGGCCCCGTCTGTTTGCCCGCAACTTGTCTCCAACACCACCACGGCCGCCCACGCACACGCGCATACCCGGTACACTGTGACCTCCCCATGGCGCCGCATGATGACTTCAGTGGGCAGGGACTTTCTAGCCAGTGCGTCTTGCTCATTCCGTCTCCCCTGCCCCACTCCAGCTCCTCTCCCTCCTGCCCCCACCTCTCTGGCTGCTCCTTCATTTTCTCTTCAGGCTTCTCTTCCCAGAGTCCCACCCGCGGTCTCTAGCACACACACTCCAATGAGGGGTCGGGGTACCCCATTCCACCGCAAACTGCTCTTCTGAGGCCCACAGCCAAATCCCACTGCCCCAGAACAGCTCCACTGGCCACTCCACAGCCATCACCCCCTCCAAACCTCCCCCCAGACTCAGCAGCACCAAACTGTCATAGGCAAGAAGGCCTGGGGCTGTGTCTCAGCTCTGCCAAGGGCTGGCAGAGAATTTTTAAATTCTCCAAGCCTCAGTTTCCGTTAATGAAAACGGGAACAAAAGCCCCTACCTCAGTGATTTAAGGATGAAATGAATTCACACACGCCAAGCCCCAGGCTGCTCCTCAGTCATGACTGGCTGCACTCCAGCAGGCCTCAGTCTACCCCCAATCCCCCCTCACAACCCCCAGCCTGACAGCTCCTGCCTCTGAATGTTTCAAGCCACACCTCCTCCTCCACTCCACCGCCTTGAAGCTGGTCAGGCCTTGGCTGGTGCCCCCAGGTCTGAGATCAGGCTTTGCACTAGCTGCCCTGCCTCCAGACTTGTCCCCTCTCAGCCACCCTGCACTATGACAGCGACTCACCTAAAATACCAACTCATTGAATTCTGCTACATCACCCTGTGAGCAACGGCAGTGCCATCCACCTCCTGACATACCTCGCACTTTCCAGAAGTTAGAAAATAACCTCAGCTGGGCGCGGCAGCTCGTGACAGGAATCCCAGCGTTTTGGGAGGCCAAAGCAGGATGATGGCTTGAGCCTGGGAGTTCAAGACCAGCCTGGGCAACATAGTAAAACCCTGTCTCTATAAAAAATAAAAAACTAGCTGGGCATGGTGGCATGTGCCTGTAATCCAAGCTACTCAGGACGATGAGGCAGAAGGATCACTTCAGCCCAGGGGTTGGAGGCTGCAGTGAGCAGCCTCTGCACACCACTGCACCACTGCACACCGGCCTGGGGAACACAGCAAGATCCTGTCTCTTATAACAAGAAAAAAAAAGGCCAGGCACAGTGGCTCATGCCTGTAATCCCAGTACTTTGGGAGGCCGAGGTGGGTGGATCGCTTGAGGTCAGGAGTTCAAGACCAGCCTGGCCAACATGGCAAAACCCCATCTCTACTAAAAATACAAAAATTACCTGGGTGTGGTGGCAGGCACCTGTAATCCCAACTACTCGGGAGGCTGAGGCAGGAGAACTGCTTGAACCTGGGAGGCAGAGGTTGCAGTGAGCCGAGATCCCGCCGCTGCACTCCAGCGTGGGTGACAGAGACAGACTCTGTCTCAAAAAAAGAAAAAAGGAAAAAGAAAAAAAAAAAACCCTGCCATGTGTGGAGCTTCTGCAAACCCTGCTAGCCAGGCTGCTGAAACAGAATGGGTGCGGGGGCCAGTGGTAGGTATTTTTAAGGATCCTTAAGGTGAAAGCATTGCTTGAGCCCAGGAGTTTAAGACTTCAGTGAGCTGGGTTAGCGCCACTGCACTCCAGCCTGTGTGACAGAGCGAGACTGTTTCACCAAAAAAACCAAACCAAACCCAAAACCGTTCCAAGATGTAAGATGTATGGTTAGTACAGCACAAGATCTGGCTGGACCCAAAAGGTGCTTCTTATTCAAGATATAAGAGTAACTACAGCCGAAATAGGTCTATTAATTCCCCACAGGGCTCCTTTAAGGAAATATTTAAAGCATTTCAGGACAGGAAAGTGACTATTTAAATATAATGCAATTCAATGCAAAAATGTTAAAGGATATGAAAAGTTCTGCACCCAAGCGCCCACCGTCATCAGGCCCCACGTCCCCAGAGAGCCAAAGGAAGGGTGCCTGGGCTCACTCTGGGGGGACAACATCACCAGAAAGAGGGACTGCTCCCCTAGGAAGCCCCTTTGGCTCTCCCTGAGGATCCAGAGAGTGACAAGGCCCCACATCACAATTTCTTCCCCACTGAGTCCCGCGGAGCACAGACTGCTCTGCAGCCCAAGGGCAGGCACCTACCTGCGAGCGCCTGCTGGACTCTGCTGGGCTTTGGCATCTGCACGGGCACAGTGGCAGGGACGCTCCCCGGGCTGCAGGACGGACCGCTGGGGAGGGAGGCACTGGGGGAGAAAAGAGCAGAGCTTACGGCGCTGCTGACTTATCAGAAACGAGAGCGAGAGAAACACTGTGTCATGGCCAAGTGGGAGTCACTGAGGTGCCTTCGCGCTTTCATGCTCCTTGGGTGCCTCTGTGTAGAGGCCTTTGGTTTTGTTTTCCTGGGCAATTCAGAGGACTCAGGAGAGGACTCAGGAGGGGTGTGGTGGCTCACACCTGTAATCCCAGCACTTTGGGAGGATGAGGTGGGAGGATCACTTGAGGCCAGGAGTTTGAGGCCAACCTGGGCAACATAGTGGGACTCCATCTCCACAAAAAATTTAAAAAGTCTGCCAAGAGCGGTGGTGCACACCTGCACTTGGGAGGCTGAAGCAGGAGGACGGCTTGAACCCAGGAGGTTGAGGCTGCAGTGAGCCATGATCACATCACTGCAGTCCAGCCTGGGCGACAGAGTGAGAACCTGTCTCAAAAAAAAAAAAAAGACTCTGAAAACAACCGTTTCACACCTATTGTGAATACAGAAAATAAAAAGATATTTTACACCCACTAGTGTTAGCAAAATGCAGTCTTTTAGGCCGGGCGCGGTGGCTCACGCCTGTAATCCCAGCACTTTCGGAGGCTGAAGCAGGTGGATCACAAGGTCAAGAAATTGATACCATCCTAACATGGAGAAACCCCGTCTCTACTAAAAATGCAAACAATTAGCTGGGCATGGTGGCATGCACCTGTAGTCCCAGCTACTCAGTAGGCTGAGGCAGGAGAATCACTTGAACCCGGGAGGTGGAGGTTGCTGAGATCGTACCACTGCACTCCAGCCTGGGCAACAAAGTGAGACTCTGTAAAAAAAAAAAAAAAAAAATGGCCGGGCACGGTGGCTCACTTTGGGAGGCCGAGGCGGGCGGATCACGAGGTCAGGAGTTCAAGACCAGCCTGGCCAAGATGGTGAAATCCCGTCTCTACTAAAACTATAAAAATTAGCCAAGTGTGGTGGCAGGCACCTGTAATTCCAGCTACTTGGGGGGCTGGGGCAGGAGAATCATTTGAACCTGGGCAGCAGAGGTTTCGATGAGCCAAGATCGCACCACTGCTCCAGCCTGGGCAACAGAGCGAGACTCTGTCTCAAAACAAACAAACAAACAAAAAATGCAGGTTCTCATAGCACCTGTTTAGAGGAGAAACCTGGCAGAAACCACTTTAGCAAATGATCATGACCTTCATCACCAGTAACAGACAAGTCAGTATCATAAACCCCATGATACGATGCTCTGGGAGGGACACACCGCCATTTTGGGGGGATTTAATGTCAAAAATGCATTATCTAGCCTGGGCAACAATCAAGACCCCATCTCTAAAAAAGAAAAAACTAGCTAGGTGTGGTGGCATGCACCTGTGGCCCCAGCTACTCGAGAGGTTGAGGCGGGACGATCACTTGAGCCTGGGAGTTCAAGGCTGCAGTGAGCTATGATCTCATCACTGTACTCCAGCCCAGGCTGGAGACTGTCAAAAAAGAAATAATGAAGGGCATTATCTTTGTCCAAACATGGGAAAACTTAAGACAAACTCAAATTAAGGGACATTCAATAAAGCACCTCTATGAAAGTAACAAGATTATAAAGGATAAAGACTGACAAACTGTTCCAGCCCAGAGAAGGACGGGGAGAATAAGAACTGGAAGTGAAGTGGGACCCTGGATTGGATCCTGGGACAGAAAGAGGACAGTAGTGGGAAACTGGTGAAAAATCAAGAAAAAAAAAAACTTTAGAGTACTGTACCAGTGGTAATTTTCTTTCTTTTTGCGGGGGGCGGGGACAGAGTCTCGCTCTGTTGCCAGGCTGGAGTGCAGTGGTATGATCTTGGCTCACTGCAACCTCTGCCTCCCAGGTTCAAGCGATTCTCCTGCCTCAGCCTCCCAAGTAGCTGGGACTACAGGCACATGCCACCATGCCCGGCTAATTTATGTATTTTTAGTAGAGATGGGGTTTCGCCATGTTACCTAGGATGGTCTTGATCTCTTGACCTCGTGATTCGCCTGCCTTGGCCTCCCAAGGTGCTGGGATTACCGTTTTGTTCCCTACAATGATTATATTCAGGTCACTCATTTGGTCTTTGTATTTTTTTTTTTTTTGATACAGAGTCTCACTCTGTGGCCCAGGCTGGATGGAGTACAGTGGCATGATCTTGGCTGGCTGCAACATCTGCCTCACAGGTTCAAGCAATTCTCATGCCTCAGCTTCCCGAGTAGCTGGGATTACAGGCGTGTGCCACCACACCCGGCCAATTTTTGTATATTTAATAGAGATGGGGGTTTCGTCATGTTGGCCAGGCTGGTCTCAAACTCCTGACCTCAGGTGATCTGCCCACCTCAGCCTCCCAAAGTCCTGGGATTACAGGCATGAGGCACTACACCTGGCCACTCATTTGGTTTTAAGTCATCATATTTCTTTTTTTTTTTTTTTAGAGGTAGGGTCATGCCGGCAGAGTGACGTGGGGGAAGCATGCTGGGCTCATAGAGTGGGGCTCTTGCTCTGTTGGAGCTCAAGCCCTTAGCTGGAGTGCAGTGATACGATCATAGCTCACTGCAGCCTCCACCTCCCAGGCTCAAGTGATCCTCCTGCCTCACCCTCCTGAGTAGCTGGAACTACAGGTGAGCACCACCACACCTGGCTAGTTTTTAAAAAATATATATAAACAGAATCTTCCTATGCTGTCCAGGCTGGTCTGAAACTCCTGGCCTCAAGAGATCCTCCCACCTTGGCCTCCGAAAGCACTGGGATTATGGGCATGAGCCACTGTGCATGGTCTGAGTTTGTTGACTATTCTCAAACAGGATTGCCTCTGTGGCTGTGCCACGCAAACAGCAGCTTCTTGCTCTCCTCGCCTACTCCCAATCCAAAGGCAAGGCTGGCAGCGGATATGGGGACCCTGATAATGCCAAGAAGGGCAGGGAGTCTGGACACCTGGGTCAAGGTCCTGGCTCTACTGGACACTCACAGTTTCACTCATTTGGAGCAAACCCCTCCCCTTCCTCAGTCGGTTTCAACTCTTCCCCACTCTTTTTTCTTTTTCCTCGGAGTCTTGCTCTGTTGCCCAGGCTGGAGTGCAGTGGTGTGATCTTGGCTCACTGCAACCTCTCTGTCTCCCAGGCTCAAGCAATTCTCCTGCCTCAGCCTCCTGAGTAGCTGGGATTACAGGAGCCCGCCACCATGCCCGGCTAATTTTTGTATTTTTAGTAGAGACAGGGTTTAACCATATTGGCCAGGCTAGTCTTGAGTTACTGAACTCAAGTGATCCACCCACCTCAGCCTCCCAGAGCGTTGGGATTACAGGTGTGAGTCACCTGCCCAGCCCTCTTGTCCTTTTTTTTTTTTTAAAGGAAAGTGGATCATCTCTGATGGTCTCTGCAACTCTAAGGTTCTGTAAGTGAAGGCATTCAGGACCCTCTAGGGCAGCACTGAGCTCAAGCCCTGAGTTGGAGCCCAGAAAGCTGAAGTTTGGCACTGCAGATCTACAAAACAAATGAGCTGTGCAGCAGGCTAGGCATCACTGGCCCAGAGGGGCTCTAAGCCCATGGTACTCCTCCCCCCACCACCCCCACCAGAGATGGGGTCCCTGACTGCTCCACCCTGCAGAAAAATCCCAGGAAGTGAGGTCTTCCTTCACCAGGGAGAGGCACATATCCGAACGAGAAGGCTTGCTTCTGTTCTAACAAGAACGAACAAGAAGTCCTTGCTTCCAAGGACTAGAGCAGAAAGCAGAAGCACAGTGAGGCTTCCAATGGGCGCTCACCCTGTGACTAGAGGGCAGGAAACCAGGAGTGTGTTCTGTAGAAAGCTCTAAAAATATCACCACTTACCCCATATAATCACAGTTCCTCCCTGGTGTGTGTCCCTGCTGTGACCTCTAGGAACTGAACCATACAAGGATACAGAGGTTCCCAAGATGGGGACCGCCAGGGGTGGATGGAACCTCAGAAGTTATCAATCGTCCTCATCATCCTCAGAGGGCTCGGACCTGCAGAACGTTCCCAGATGTGGGCACCAACTGCTCCCCGAAGTGTCCTTCTCTGAGAAGTCCCTATAGTCATGACCTCAGGCACCCTCCTCCTCTCCCCGACTCCTGGTCCGCCTATTAGGCCCTCCCTGGCTTTCCTGTCTGTGACCATCTCCAGGAGATCCCAGACAGCGTGGGAAACGTGAGACATGAGGACTCCGAGTTTTCTATGCAGGGCGAGGGCAAAGCCAGGAGGCCGGAGAGGAAGGAGATCCAAAGCCCCTCTCCAAGGCCACACCCTCTGGGATTGAGGCTGGCAGCCAGTCCCATGAGCTGCAGAGGCTGGAGACGATGCTAGAAGCGTATGCTCCCGCTCAAAGCCGTATGCGCTGGGCATGGCAAGTCCCCTTCCCGAGCCTCAGTTCCTCTACCTATGAGGATGATTCCCAAAGGCCACCAGGGCAGCGAGGAGACCCAGGACAAATACCGGTGGGGTCCAGGTCTTGCAGGAGCAGAGGGAGGTGAAGCCAGGCCCTAAGGTCCACCAGGTACTTTCCTGTAGGGCCCTAACTACATCCTGAAAACCACAGCAACAATAGAGCAGAAGGCAACCTCATAAACTGACCAGTCCAACCCTCTCTCAGCTCAAAAGAAGAGGAGGCAGGGCACGGTGGCTCACACTTGTAATCCCAGTGCTTTGGGAGGCCAAGAGTTTAGGACCAGCCTGGGCAATATAGTGAGATCCGTCTCTACAAAAAATTTTAAAAATGAGCTGGACACAGTGGCATAAGCCTGTAGTCCTGGCCACTCAGGAGGCTGAGGCAGGAGGATCCCTTGAGCCCAGGAGTTTGAGGCTGCAGTGAGCCATGATCACGCCACTTCACTCTAGCCTGGGTAACAGAGTGAGACCCTGTCTCTTAAAAAAACCAGAACAAAACAAAAAGCAAAGAAAAAGAAAAGAAAGAAGAAAAAAACAAAGAGAGAAGAGACCCAGGGCCTACCATAAGTCAGGAGCAAGGCCCCATCTGGGCCCCATGACTCCAATCCCACAAGCCAAAAGACAGGCGGCCGCAGGAGGAAGAGGAAGTGAGTTCTTTCAGAGGCAAGGGCAGGAGCAGCAGCAGCCGCCCACCACAGCAGCAAGCCACCAAGAGCTGAGCGGGCGCAGTTTTGTAGGGCCACTGAGCCATTCGGCACTGAGCAAAACGCCCACAGGCTTCACCTTGCTGAGCTGTGACAGACTGCTGGTCATAACCACCACCCCAAGCCATCCAAGTGCTATGCAGTGCCACACCCTCTCCGTTAAGGGAGACAAGAGCGTGCATGACACACTTAGGAAAGATTTCCGTCCAACATCACTGAAACACAAGTTCTGATGCTTAAAGGAATCAACTTCAGCTACCAGGAAATCTACTGCCACCCAGCAGTTCAGCCCCAGATGACACGCTTTCTTGTATCATGGTCTATTCCCAGGGGGCACGTGGAAGCTGTGCACATGAGTTCCAGGAAATTTTTTGATTTCATGCGCTCACATGGTATTTCTAGTGGCTGCCAGTAAAAAGTCGGTTCTCGGGCCTCCCCAGCCCATGGCGCTGGCTCTAGATGGGCCCCGCCTACCCTGCCTGCCCCCCTCACATCCAAGGTAACTTTCACCTGCTGCTGTTGACAAGCACTTGGCTGTGAGAACCTCACCGCCTGCTAGGTTAAGAGGTCAGATATTTACTGAGCCCCATCTGACTCTATACCCGTCAGAGGGTTAACTGCAGGGGGCCTCACTACCAATCAGGCAGGGGAAAAGCCTGTTTTTCAGCACGGGGATAGGCCCGTGCAGGTGAATTACACCTCTCCAGCTCCAAGAAAACCAAAGGAATCAGGATGCACCTACACCTACCCCAGGAGACAGGCCCCTTTGAGGCTGGTTCTACTAACAGAGCCTGCTGGCCTGGTTCCCTCCTGACTTACAATGTGGGGCAAGACACAGCATGCCCAGCCCAGCACCAAGGGCAGACAGACTGGCCCAGCCACCTTCTTTTCTGTAACTTGCCTGGCCCACACCAGTAGGACCCATATCAGCACTTCTGCAGGCCCTCAGGCTAGGGATGGGGACCCCAGAGAAATATTGGGGGAAACGGAAATGGTTTAGTAAAGACCAGTGGGGCCCAATACCAGGAGAAAGGAACAAAGCCACATTAAGTCACTTGACTCAACTCCGGAATCCCGCTCGAGCACTATCCAGAAATTTGCCTCAAAATAATTCCTAAGAACTTAAGCAGCTCCAGGAGGCTGGGTGAAACAGAGCTGACAGAAGTCCCAGTGCCTCTAAGAACCCTCCTGGGCCTGTAGATAGAGTACACTGTTCTCTGAAACAGGCTGACCCAGATATTCAGGGCGGGAAGTTGAGGCAGCACCTCCCTGAGCCCGGCTTGCCTATGTCCATGTCCTCAGAGAACCCCAATAACACCTTCCTGTACTCGCAACTCCCAGAAAGATCTCAGATGCACGTGCCCCAACTCCTGGCAGAAGATGCCCATGAGAACTCTGACTCACCCAAGGCCCATCACCCTCCTGTCTACTGGCCTCCTCCTAGCTCATCCCTCAAGAGGCCTTTTGGGCCAGGTGTGATGGCTCATGCCTATAATCTCAGCACGTTGGAAGGCTGAGGCAAGAGGATTGCTTGAGGCCAGGAATTCAAGACTAGCCTGGACAACATGGCAAGACCTTGCTGATACGTAAAACTGAAAAATTAGCTGGTTGTGATGGTGTACACCTGTGGTCCCAGCTACTCAGAAGGCTGAGGCAGGAGGATCACTTGAGCACAGCAGTTCGAGCCTGCAGTGAACCATGACTGCACCACTGTACTCTAGCCTGGGTGACACAGCAAAACCCTGTCTCTAAAAATAGTAATCAAATTAAATTAAAATGTATTAAAAGAGCTCCCTGCCTTCCCAGGAGCGTCAAGAACTCCCCATGTGCCCCAGATAGCGCACTCTTGGGGCCTGGGCTGAATCCCAGCTCTGGCACTTGCTGGCTCTGTCGCCAACCTCATGGGCCTGGACGTGCTCCCCTGTAAGTGAAGAACACTGCTCAGCCTGAGAGCGTCGTGGCATGAGTGAAGTCACTCACGCAGCCTGCTCAGGAGGGCCTGGCACATGACACGAACCAATAAGTGGGAGGCGCTGTCACTGTGTCTTACACAAGCTGGCAGGGTCCTCAGAAACACAGTCTGAAAAAATACTAGAGGTCTGAGAAGTTGCCAAGGAGGTCTCGACCACCCTGAGAAGTTTCAGCCCTTGACGTGGGTGCGGTAGCCAGTGAGCAGCGAGGCAGCAGGATGCTGACCAGGGCCAGTGCGGCCCACACACTCCCTCACCACCCACACCAGCACACTCTCGGAAAGCCCCGTCCCAGCTACCACTCTGAATTCTCAAAACGTGCTCCAAGCCCAACACTCTCAATAATGAATGACGAAGCCCCAAGTCAGCCAGAGCGTCAGAGGGCTATGGCCAGCCAGAGGGCTACGGCCAGCCCAGAGCATTCACCTTGGCCAAATCCAGGGAAATCCAGGGGGGTTCCTCATTTTATCTTTTTTTTTTTTTTTTGAGATGGAGTTTCACTCTTTGTCGCCCAGGCTGGAGTGCAGTGGCGTGATCTCGGCTCACTGCAACATCCACCTCCTGGGTTCAAGGGATTATCTTGCCTCAGCCTTCCAAGTAGCTGGGATTACAGGCGCTGACCACCATGCCTGGCTAATTTTTGTATTTTTAGCAGAGATTGGTTTCACCATATTGGCCAGGCTGGTCTCGAACTCCTGACCTCAGATGATACGTCCACCTTGGCCTCCCAAAGTGCTGGGATTACACACATGAGCCACTGGGCCCAGCTTTAAGACAGGGTCTCGCTCTGTCACCTAGGGGCTGGAGTGCAGTGGCACGATCACAGCTCACTGCTGCCTCGACCTCCTGGGCTCAAGCGATCCTCCTGCCTCAGTCTCCTGAGTAGCTGGGATCACAGGTGTGCACCACCATGCCTGACTAATTAAAAATTTTGTGTGTGTGTGGAGACGAGGTCTCACTATGTTGCTCAGGCTAGTTTCTCACTCCTGGGCTCAAATGATCTTCCTGCCTTGGCCTCCCAAAGTGCTGGGATTAAATGTGTCAGCCTCTGTGCTTGGCCAATCTCCTCACTTTAAATGCCACCTGCTCTCGTCTGTACTGGGCCCGTGGTATCCTTCTCTCTCTCTCAAGGAGCTGAGTGCTTTACCAGGCACTCTGGGCTCGGCTGCATCAGCAGGAGACCAGGTCACCCATGCCACCTGCAGCCACTGCCACACGCTCCACATTCTGTCCCCCTCACACTGCGTTGACAGCCCCCGACACTAGACTGGGGCTCAGGGGTAAGGGCTGATGCTCTGGTCTCTGGGTCTTCACGACCTGGCACATGGCAGGGGTCAGTGTACAGGCAGTGACCCGGTGTTCTTGGGCACGATGCTCACCGTGCAGCCCGCAAGCAGAGGCCACAGGCCTCTAACTCTGCTCTCCGTAGAGGGTCCCAGCATCGTGAGTGAAAGGACTGTAGATTCTAACCTGTGTGGTGACCACCAGGACTCGGGTACAAGGGGTCAGGTAGGCTCTGGACAGCCATGGCACCTCAGCACCCACATGGCACATGCAAATGAGATGCCATGGCAGGGACCACCCAGGGGGCAGGAGCCGCGTCTGCAGGAATTGGGGTGAGTCTTCCCAGCCAAGTAAGAGTGGAAACACAGGGCAGACAAAACGAGTGGCTGTTGCCCACGATACCTGACTGCACCAGAAGTGGAGGATCCTGGGGGCAGGTGCTGCAGTCCCAGGTGGGAGAGGCTGGAGCGGTAGAGGGGCTGGCTCCCCAGGGAGGGAGGAGCCGCGGCCCAGGGGTTGGTGGTGTTCAGCCTGGGCACAGACCGAGCCCCGGAGAGTGAGGGTTTGCTGTACGGTGCAAAGGCCTGGTGGGCCCCAAACACAAAAGCGGTCCTGTGCGGGGGGTGCTGGGGGGCGGGGTACGCAGGGAGGTTGGTCATGGAGTGGCGGTAGCGGCCTGACACAGGGCCAGTTCCGCTGCCGCTGAGGCACTGGTGGCAAGAGCAGGCAACGCCCGTGTGGCCCGGCGGAGCGATGATGGTGGTCACCGGGTAAGGCGGCCCTGCTTGGCGCCGCACACTGCGGCAGAAGCTGGAAGTCTTGTTGGTCTGCGTTTGGGTGGCAGAGTTGACGGTGTAGTTGTACCCCAGCGGGGCCAAGTCCACAAGCTGGTTGCCCCTGGCCACCTGCTGCTCCAGATAGTCACAGACGCTGGCTTCGTAGGCGGTCCAGGAGCCATCGTCGCTCAGCCACTCCCAGACGACACCTCGGCCAGGGGCTGAGTGCTGGGAGAACAGGTGTCTCCGCACGGCCCGCATGGTGCCTGTTTTCAAAGAAAAACAAAAGGTTAGTCTGCTAGCATCCCCCAAATACAGGGAACGTTCAAATTCTTTTTTCAACAGCCCAAATAAACACATAGGAACACAGTAGGTACACAGTCATGCTGCTATTTGTTTATTTTTAGAGACAGGGTCCCCCTTTGTCGCCCAGGCAGCAGTGCCATGATGTGATCATAGTTCTCTGCCACCCTGACCTCCTGGGCTCAAGCGATCCTCCTGCCTTAGCCTCCTGAAGAGCCGGGACTACAGGCACATGACACTACACCCAGCTAACTTCAAATCGACGGCCTCTATGACACCTGCCACTTTCATTCCCCAATTAACACTTCCTGCTCTCCACCACAATATGCAATTTCGGTGTTATTATTTATCCTGTCTGCTATCTTTCTCAGTTGACGTCACACAACGTGAAGGCGATGACTTGGGAGCTGACTGACAGCCACAGTTTTCACAGACTCTACGACACTCCTGACAAAGATTAACACAGAGTTTCCAGGGCTGGGCGTGACAGCTCAAGCCTGTAATCCCAACACTTTCGGAGGCCAAGGCAGGAAGATCACTTGAGCTCAGGAGTTGAAGACCAGCCTGGGCAACACAAGGAGATGGAGACCCTGTCTCTACAAAGAACAAAAAACAAAAACAAAAAAAGAAAAAAAATCCCATACTTTTAAAAAAAATTTTAAATTAAAATTGGAAAAAAAAAAAAAAAGGAAAAACCAGTTTCTCAAGTCTCGGCACTGGTGACACTATGGGCCAATAATTCCTTATTGCAGGGCCAGCCCTATACGCTGCAGGACGGCAAGCAGCATCCCTGGCCTCCACCCACCAGGTGCCAGGAGCACCCCCACCTCCCACCCACTCAGCTGTGACAACCAACAATCTCTCCAAACATTGTCAGATGGCCCTGGGGAAAAAATCACCCCGGTTTGGAGGAAGGGACGGCTCCAAGAGGAAACTGGTGCCTCATTCTCAATAATCCTGATCAAAACACACTGCAGGTCCAGGAGCAGTGGCGCACGCCTGTAATCCCAGCACTTTGGGAGCCCGAGGCAGGCAGATCACCTGAGGTCAGGAGCTCGAGACCAGCCTGACCAACGTGGCAAAACCCTGTCTCTACTAAAAATACAAAAATTAGCCAGGTGTGGTGGTGGGCACCTGTAATCCCAGCTACTCAGGAAGCTGAGGCAGGAGAATTGCTCAAACCCAGGAGGCAGGGGTTGCAGTGCCGAGATCACACCATTGCACTCCAGCCTGGGCAACAGAGCGAGACTCTGTCTCAGAAAAAAAAAAAAAAAAAAAAAAAAAGATCAAAACACATCGCAGACCAAAAAGCAGAAATGCACACATGCAGAGGGGCGCAGCTGCCTGCCCAGGGCACACAGCCATTGAGTGGTGGGGCAGGGCCCTCTGAACTCCCATGGCGCACCACCCCTCCATGCCGGCCTGCCTGCCAGAGACCCTCCAACCTCTGCGGTCGGGACAGGCATTTCTGCTTTGCGAGACAAGGGGAAGGGCCTCCCACAGCGTCTCACTGTGAGCTGCACTCAACTTGTGTGGATGTTCCCACTCACTACACCCACCCACCACCACGTGTGCTGCGGGGAGAGAGCAGCTCTGTAGGTCACGTCCATCACCCCAACACCTGGCACAGAGCCTGTGGGAAAGCAGGTGCGGCGCCCAGATATGTGCGAGAGGCAGACAGCGTCTTACCAGTGTCCTGGCGGAACTGGGTCCAGCTGGGGAGGTCAATGATGTAAGGGGCCAGCGAGGGGTCTGCCTGGCCCAAGGGGATGCTGTGGGCCAGGCTCCCGAGCCCGAAGCGTTGGCCCTTCTGCTGGACAAACTGCTGCTCGATGAAGTTGCAGACGACAGCACTGTAGGGGTGCCAGGTGCCCAGCCCGTCCTGCCATTCCCACACGGCCACAGCCACGGGGCTGGTATACACCTGCACCAGGGAAGGGCTTGGGGCCATGGCCATCTTCCCAAGGAGTCCTGCTGCTTTCCCAAACGGCTTCAGACCCCTCTGGCCTGGAGTCCTGGGGTCATTGCCCAGAGCCTGCGGCAGATCTGTGAACAGGACAGACACGAGCAGTTACCAATGTACGCAGTAGCCCTGCAGAGTCAGCCTCAGGGCAGGGGAAACACACCATGCTTTTCCATAGCTGATTTTTTTTTTTTGGGATACAGGCTCTCCCTCTGTCACCCAGGCTGGAGTGCAGCAGTGCGATCTTGGCTCACGGCAGCCTCAAACTCCTGGGCTCAAGTAATCCTCACAACTCAGCTGCCAGAGCAGCTAGGACAATAGGCATTTGCCGCCACACCCAGCTGATTTTTTCCCTTTTTGTAGAGACGGTGTCTGTGTTGCCAGGCTGGTCTCAAACTCCTAGCCTCAAGGGATCGACTCGCCTCAGCCTTCCCAAGTGCTGGGATCACAGGTGTGAGCCACCGCGCCTGGTCTCATGCTTGCTTTTCTTACCCTAACACCTTAAGGGCACCATGAATCAAGAACCTGATCCTGCCTCTTTAGTCTGGCAGCCAGGAAGAATTCAAAGTCAATCCTGCAGCCTACCGACCGCCGCACAGGCCCATGAAGAAAGAGCAGCGGAAATTCCGGGTGCTAGTCACCAGCGCAACTTCTTTCTTGCTACTGGTAATTCCCCTCTGGCCTAACTGCTTAGTGTATTGTTTCATCATGCATGCATTTCTTTCTTCATTGAGATGGAGTTTCACTCTTGTCACCCAGGCTGGAGTGCAATGGTGTGATCTGGGTTCATTGCAACCTCCGCCTCCCAGGTGGGTTCAAGTGATTCTTCTGCCTCAGCCTCCCAAGTAGCTAGGACTACAGGCACGCGCCACCGCGCCCAGCTAGTTTTTTATACTTTTAGTAGAAACGGGGTTTCACCATGTTGGCCAGGCTGGTCTCAAACTCCTGACCTCAGGTGATCCACCCATCTCAGCCTCCCTATTAGCACCCACCATGCTGAAGATGAGAACCCACCATGTCTCGGAAAGGAGCAGGGGTTTTGGGACACAGGTTCTAGCTCCTCGTGTCTCCAGAGTGCCCTGACAGCATCACTGACCACAAAGGAAACCCTAGATGGGCACCGAATCACCCCTCTCTGGCCTCTGCAAACCTGTCTGCACCCACTCCCCCGCCCGGCCCCTGCTGACTGGCCACCAGGCCCAGCGAGTTCTTCCCCACATCCCAAGCTCCCCACCTCCTGAGACCTCCTTGTAGTCGCTCCAGCCCACCCTCTTCCCTTGCAAACACTCCACATCCTCCAGGCCCAGCTTGCGTCGCTCAGGATGACCCGTCACATGCCCTCTGCACCCTCCACAGCACTGACCAGAACCCTAGCAACCGCATCCACCTGTGGCTGTAACCACGGTCCTTCTACTCCTCCCCAGGTGGCAGCAACCCCAAGCCTGCCTCATTCACAGCTGCATCGCTGGGACCCAGCCGGGGTGTGCCACGTGGTGAGTGTTCTAGAATGTTCTATACACCGCTTCAGCATGACAGAGTGAAGGTGGACAATGATTCCAGTCAGCACCTCCAGTTGTCTGAATGAGAAGAGGCCTGCAAATGCCCCCACATGATGGCCGCCCCCCATGGCACTGGCTGTTGGAGTGCCGGTCCAGGGTCCAACATTTAGCAACCAACATCAAATGTTCTAGTCTCTCCTAAGTCGCACGGACTGATAAGGTGACATTTCTCTCACTTACGGACAGGAAACCAAGGCTGAAAGAGGTCAAGGGGACTGGGTGTGGTGGCTCACACCTGTAATGCCGGTGTTTAGGGAGGCTGGGACAGGAGGGTTGTTTGAGCCCAGGAGTTTGAGGCAACATAGTAAGATCCCATCTCTGCAGGAAATTAAAAAATTAGCCAGGTGTGGAGACGCACGCCAATAGTCCCACCTACTCAAAGGCTGAGGTGGGAGGATGGCTTGGGCCCAGGAGTTGGAGGCTACAGTGAGCTATAATCCCAAGGCACTCCAGCCTGGGTGACAACAGGCCCCACCTCTAAAAAAAAAAAAAAAAAAAAAAAAAAAAAAAAATATCAGGCCAGGCACTGTGGCTCAAGCCTGTAATCCCGGCATTTTGGGAGGCCGAGGTGTGCAGATCATGAGGTCAGGACATCAAGACCATCCTGGCTAACACAGTGAAACCCCATCTCTACTAAAAATACAAAAAAAAAAAAAAAAAAAAAAGGCGGGCGTGGTGGCAGGTGCCTGTAGTCCCAGTGACTCAGGAGGCTGAGGAAGGAGAATGGCGTGAACCCAGGAGGCAGAGATCGCAGTGAGCCGAGATCGGGCCACTGCACTCCAGCCTGGGCAACAGAGCGAGACTCCATCTCAAAAAAATATATAATAATAATAATAATAATCAGAGCTGATGCAGCGTGTGTGTGCACGCTGATGCCAGAGCCCATGACTGCTTCTTTCCAGGGGTTGCTCCAGATCTGTCTCCCTTCCAGGGAAAGCGGTCTTACCCTTCTCATTGAAATCTTGCTGGGGTAGTACAGTCAGGGACCACACCAGAAGTCCAGGGTCCCAGTCTTATCACGAGCCACGCGACTATGAGGACGTCACTGTAACTACCTGGGTCTCAGTTTCCTCATTGGCAAAATGGGGATAAAATATGACGTGTACGCTTGAGGGGACAGTAGTCATGGGAATCTCCAGATTGTATCAGTGGGGGCCCTACCGGCCAGGGCCCTGCATGGGTGTGTTGTCACAATGAGGGTGTGTAGTGCTTCAGAGATGTGGGTCGTGCTCTCCTTCCCTTTTCCCCCTCTTTAACCAGGGCCCGTAAGTGAAGCCCAAGGCAAACCTCAGACTGAGCCCTTCTCGCTAAGACAATGGGCCTTAGAGCCAGACCCGACCTGGGTTTGTTCTCTGTGCTGCCTCTTAGTCGTGTATGTGTGACCTTGAGTTATTCAATCAAGGTCACACATACACTACTTAATAAAAGGTGACATTTATGTATTTATTTAGAGTCTCACTCTGTCACCCAGGCTACAGTGCAGTGCCATAATCACCACTCACTGCATTCCCACGGCCTCCTGGGCTAAAGCCATCCTCCTGCCTCCGCCTCCCGAGCAGCTGGGACTACAGGCATGTGCCACCATACTCAACTGATCTCTTAATTTTTTGTAGAGACAGCGGTCTCACTCTGTCACCCAGCTAAGACTACGGGCACGCGCCACCATGCCTGGCTATCATATCATCTTGATGGTAGTATCTAAGCTCGCCAAGCTTGCTTTCTTTGGGAAAACGGAGTTATCAACATGTATCCTAAGTGCTTTTCATAGGGATAACACAGACAGGTGTGTATAAGGTACCCACACAGCACTAGGCATACAGCAGACAGTCAACCCATCTTGGCCTCCCTGCCTCTCCTGGCCCCTCACCTCCAGCACTTGCCCACCCTTTCAGTCTCAAGGAGGAACGGCCGCAAGGGCAGCCCTGAGTACACAGCATGAGAACACACATGAGTCAGGCCTGCAACAACTCCGAACACAGGAATCGGCAGCTCTGTGGGTGCCAGGCCTGCCACAGAGCTGCCAATTCCTCCGACAAAAGCCCACAACCCGCCCAGAAGATCAGACCTGGGGTGCCCTCGGGCAGGCGGGCTGAACGGCTCAGCTCAGTGTCTTCAATTAGAAGTTTCTGTAACCACAATGAGGTACAAATCAGAGGACTGCCTTCCGAGCCAATTACTCGTGAGTGTCACTCATCTCTCGGGCAGCCAGGGCCGCCTCCATCATCGGCACACGGGGTATGTCCCAACATGTCCTCACGGCCGGGATGAAACAACTCTCACAACTCTGCAAAACAGCCTGGGAAATACAGGTGAGGACTTCAGCTAAAACATTCCATGAAGGCATGCGGCCTCCCCGATGGAGGGTGTGCCATGGCCCAGGCCCTAGGAGGGTACTGGAGACTCCAGAGGAGGATGACAAGGCACACAAGCCCCTCCATGACCAGCCACTATTCGTACTCACACCAAGCCCTCCACCTTTGAAACCTACAGCTAATTCTAGGAAGTTCCAGAACATTCCAAGCCACTTACCACCCTCTAGCAATTGATCCTCCCTCTATACCAGCCTCCAAGCAAACATGCCCATCCTTCCAGACCCAACCATGACATCGCCTCTCCTGCGCCCCTGACCCACACTCTCGCCAGAGAGGGCTGGCTCCACCCACCCTTGTGTGCACAGCACAGGCCACTTACACAAACACAGCTGCACTCCCTAGTTTCGGTGGCCTTCTCCCCACCAAAACAGAAACTCCCTGAGGGCAGAGCTGGGGCTGCAGCTCTTCAGGTGCCCAATATCCCAGAGGCTCTGAAACACCAAAGGAGGGGTGAGCCTTCTGCTCCAGGGGCACAGGCACCTTTGAGTCACTGCCCAGAAACGCCCACTGTGTTGAACCCAGCAATTACGCACAATACAGCGGCGAGTCGGTGCACCAGTCTCTGCAGCAGCCTCGGCTTAACCATCACTTAGCTGCAGCTTAAAAACCTAATTTGTTTCAGCTCCTAATGATGCGGGTTCTTCATTATGAAAATTATTAGTATTATAATTGGCCATGGGAAAAAGCCTCAATTTGGAGGCAGCCTAAACACTTTACAATAAAGGAATTCTTGCACCAATTATGGAACATTCTAATGATGGAATACAAATCAGTCTTAAAAAATGAAAGAAAGGGCCAGGCACAGTGGCTCATGCTTGTAATTCCAGCACTTTGGGAGGCCAAGGCAGGCGGATCGCCTGAGTCCAGGAAGACAAGACCTGCATGGGCAACACAGCAAAATCCCGTCTTTACAAAAAACAGAAAAATTAGCCATGTTTGGTGGTGCGTGCCTGCAGTATCAGCTACTCAGGAGGCTGAGGTGGGAGGATCGCTTGAGCCATGAAGGTTGAGGCTGCAGTGAACCGCGATTGCACCACTGCACTCCGGCGTGGGTGACAGAGAGAGACACTGTCTCATAAAAATAAATTAATTAAAAATTAAAAGTCTGGAAAGAACAACACTAAAATGTCACTGGAATTAAAGAATTATGGGATTGTTTTTTTTTATTATTATTTTTGAGAAAGAGTCTTGCTCTCTCACCAGGCAGGAATGCAGCGGCACAATTTCAGCTCACGGCAACCTCCACCTCCTGGGTTCAAGCAGTTCTCCTGCCTCAGCCTCCCAAGTGGAGCTGGGATTACAGGCACACACCACTATGCCTGGCTAATTTTTGTATTTTCAGTAGAGACAGGGTTTTGCCACATTGGCCAGGTTGGTCTCAAACTCCTGACCTCAAGTGATCCACCCGCCTCGGCCTCCCAAAGTGCTGGGATTGCAGGTGTGAGTCATTGCACCCAGGTTATTCTTTCTTTACCTCTTTCTGTACTAGAAAAATGTTCTAAAATAGTCATATAACTTTTTAATAATCAAAGCTTTTTTTTTTCTTTTTTTTTAGACAGAGCTTCATTCTTGTTGCCCAGACCAGAGTGTAATGGCGTGATCTCAGCTTACTGAAACCTCCACGTCCCAGGTTCAAGCGATTCTCCTGCCTTGGCCTTCCAAGTAGCTGGGATTACAGGCACCTGCCACCAAGCCCAGCTAATTTTTTTTTTTTTTTTTGTATTTAGTAGAGACAGGGTTTCACCATGTTGGCCAGGCTGGTCTCGAACTCCTGACCTCAGGTGATCCACCTGCCTCGGCCTTCCAAAGTGCCAGGATTACAAGCATGAGCCACCGTGTCAGGCTAAAGTTTTTTTTTTTTTTTTTTTAAATATTAACAACTTTGACCAGGAAAACTAAACCTTGCTTTTCCTTTACAGTCTCTCGTCAGGTTTTCGCTGCAAATCTGTCCATAGGATCGTGGCTGAGGCACCATGGAATGCTGCTGTTCTACTGGAGATGCAATTTCATCCAAAAGAAAAAGGGAAAAGTATCCAAAAGTCTTTCTAGTCTCAGGGGAATTAGAAAAGCTTCAGAACAAGATCTGCGCTGGCACAAGAATCTGAGTGGCAATCTCCCTGCCCAGCTGTGAGCGCTGGGGCGGGTGAGCACCACACATGGATCTCACTGCAGTTGTGGCCTCTAGGAAGAAGGCCTTGAATGCAGATTTTAAACAGGTACTCAACTCAGACTGAGCTACGGCTCCTAATCGCTACTCAGACCCGGCTACTTTCAACTTAACAATATGTGAGAAACCCATCTCATCACTGCAGACCTGCTGAAATCTGTTACGACTAATTCTTCAATCCTCACCAGAATGCTGGCTGTCCTGCCTCTGCTGTCCTGAGAGAAGATGAAAGCCACTGGGTAGCCAAAGGGCAGTTATGTCCCCTTCTCTAGGCTCTGTGATTCCGGCAGTTAGAGTAGGTTCAGAAACCCTTATACACATGATCATATGCTGTCTGTCAACATGTAAAACAGGCTGAGCGTGGTGGCTCACACCTGTAATCTCAGCCCTTTGGGAGGCCAAGGTGGGAGGATCACTTGAGGCCAGGTGTTTGAGACCAGTCTGGGCAACAAAGCAAGACCCTATTTCTTAAAAAGAGAAAAAGAAAAGTAAAACACAGAAATGTGGGATGTTGTTTTTGACACAGAGGTGGCCTCCATTCCTAATTTTCTTCAAAAGAACCATGAAGCTCCTTTGCAAAATAGGAGAGTTTTCTTTGAGACAGAGTCTCGCTCCATCACCCAGGCTGGAGTGCAGTGGTGCGATCTTGGCTCACTGCAACCTCTGCCTCCCAGGCTCAAGTGATTCTTGTGCCTCAGCCTTCTGAGTTGGAACTACAGTGCACCACACCACACCTGGCTAATTTTTGTATTTTTAGTAGAGACGAGGTTTTGCTATGTTGGCCAGGGCTGGTCTCAAACTCCTGGCCTCAAGTGATCCACCCGCCTCGGTCTCCTAAAGTGCTCGGATTACAGATGTGAGGCACTGCGCCCAACTGGAAAACGGGAGAGTTCTGAGAAGTGTGGACTGGAAACCAGTGACAGGAGGTAACTTCTACCTCTTCCCAGCTCTGATTCCACTAACATGGTCTAAACTTTCCAAACTCAACCCACACCACTGTTCAAGTCCTTATTTTCTAAGCTGTTTCTCTTTCGGGTACTTTCCTTTTTTTTTTTTGTTTTTGTTTTTTTGAGACGGAGTCTTGCTCTGTCACCCAGGCTGGAGTGCAGTGGCCGGATCTCAGCTCACTGCAAGCTCCGCCTCCCGGGTTTACGCCATTCTCCTGCCTCAGCCTCCTGAGTAGCTGGGACTACAGGCGCCCGCCACCTCGCCCGGCTAGTTTTTTGTATTTTTTAGTAGAGACGGGGTTTCACCGTGTTAGCCAGGATGGTCTCGATCTCCTGACCTCGTGATCTGCCCGTCTCGGCCTCCCAAAGTGCTGGGATTACAGGCTTGAGCCACTGTGCCCGGCCTCGGGTACTTTCCAAGAGGCCTGGGCCTGAAACTCCACACCCCACCAGCTGACACAGTGTGCATGACCTGGAACTAGAAATGACCTTCTCATAGGGCAGATGGCCACCCACGGGGGACACCTTGTTAGAAAGCCACTCCAAAGACCTGGGAGAGTTGAATCTTGACACAGACATATCAAAGAAATGTTCTACTTTACTAGAAATTTTGTTTAAAACATACAAGTTAAAATCAGTGGCTGAGCATGGTGGCTCACACCTATACTCTTAGCTACTCGGGAGGGCGAGGCAAGAGGATCACTTGAGGCCAGGAGGTCAAGACCAGCCTGGGCAACACAGAGAGACCCCCATCTCTATTTATTAAAGAAAGGGGAAAGAAAACAATTTGGTAATATATATCGAGAGGTTTAAAAATGTTCACTTCCTTTGATCCAATAATTAAGACTCTAACTTGAGAAAATTATAGAAGAATTTTGACGTGAAGCTATTCACTACAGCACTATATTACGTAAAACAGAAGCATAGGGCAAACTCCACAGAAGTCAATAAAATGTTAACAGCTGTCTTTGAGTGGAGAAACCATAGGAGACTTTTCTTTTTTTTTTTTCTTTTTTACTTGTGTCTTTTCTTCTTCATATATAGGAGATGTTTTATTCGACTTCCTTATATATCTGAAATTTTCACATTTTCTAAAGTGAGAAAATATTACTTCTGTTATCAGAAAAAAACTCTCCTGGCCGGGCACAGTGGCTCATGACTGTAATCCCAGAGCTTCGGGAGGCCAAGGCAGCAGATCACCCGAGGTCAGGAGTTTGAGACCAGCCTGGCCAACATGGTGAAATCCCGTCTCTACTAAAAATACAAAAATTAGCTAGGCATGGTGGCAGGCACCTATAATCCCAGCTACTTGGGAGGCTGAGGCAGCAGAATCCCTTGAACCCGGGAGGTGGAGGTTGCAGTGAGCTGATAACTGCACCATTGCACTCCGTCTGGGCAACATGAGTCTCAAAAATCAAAACAAAACAAAACAAACCTCTCCTTAAAATGCCAAACACGTTTAAAAGGTCATAAATGTAAACCAAACCACCACCACCGCTGTGTCTTACCATCATTACTTTAAATGGCTGCTGCTATCCCAGTGCGGTTTCACTAATATCAGGCCCTGTCAATTTACCATAGCACCTCCCTGACAACAGACACATCCCCCTATCCCTGAGATCCACAAAAATGGAAGAACCAACCATCCACATTCCTGACTATGACAGCAGTCCTGTGAGTACGGCGAGATGGGGCTTTGCTTGAAAAGGAAGCACTCAGGCCAGTGCCTCCCGCACCTTACTGAAAGATGGCACGAAACCAGCATGGGATTTGTCCCTTGCACAGTGAATGGCTGGAAGGGAAGTGACAA